AGCAAAAATTCTTGATTTAAAATTTTTCAGTAAGTCATAGATGTATCCTCGAACATCCTTTTACAAGCAGTACTGTAGCTGTTGTTCTTTCTTTATATTTGCAAAACTCTTTAAAGCTTTTGTTAACTTTTCTTTTTCGTACAATAACACATAGTTTGGAGCGATTAGAATCAATGAACAAATGTTTCTTCACATTTAGTGGTGCACGTGGTTTGATTTTCTATGTAATTGCTTTAATACTTCTTGTTTAAATTTACTTGAGTATTCATACCAATGAATGTTTTGTAGTAAAAGACAGTGTAAAGCACAGAATGAATAATAGAGTGAATTTAAAATTATCTAGATTGTAATGTCACAGATAAGAGCCTCTTTAATTATAAACTTTAACAATACAAATTAATTTGTTTAACCGCATATACATCAGCTTGGTTTTCAAAAATGCTCTACCTTCTTCAAAATAAATCCAGTCAAGATCTTTACGAACCACAATACACTGCGCTTCCCATGCTTATTGTTAAAATTTATAATTAATTGACCCTCTTATTATGCAAGAATTGAATACGTTCGTGTTGAGCTTTGCCAAGCTTAACCCAAAACCTTATAACAGTAATCCAACGAAATACCAATATTTTAATTATTTATACAACATATTCTTCGACATATTCTCCTACAAACATTTAGACCGATTCGGGCAGAGTTTTTTGAAGAATATATCGAAGTTTATTTTGTTGAACTGCAATGGAATAAGTCCTTTAATGCCTTTTTTTGCTTGTTAACAATTCCTGACTGAGACTAAAGAGAACAGCTATATCACTTTTTGATTGAGACAGAATGAAACAAAACACACTGTGTCAAAGATTTCAATCAATTGTTTCGTTGTTTGCCAATTTTCAAACAAAAAAAAATTGACAACGTTAACAAACGTATCTTTTGACTAACATCATCTTGTCCTCTTCACCTTATTGCCTATGTATGTTCTCAACTAATTCCCAAGGAAGGTGTTCTTTAGCAACTGCTAATGTATTTAAAAGTGACTGAAATTTTTCTTTACTGATTTGAAATGAATCTAATTCGCCACTTATTCTTTTCAAGGAAATGTCGTAATATTTATTGAGATCCTTGAAAGTAAAACTGTTAAAACGTTAAAAATCTCTGACATCGATTTTTCACGTCGACATTCGCATGAAAATTATGATTACATGACGTTTTAACAAAACATAACCTTAGGTGCAATAGCAAACACTAGTTTGCCTTTTCTATGTTTGTGTAACAAGATAAAAGTCAATAAAATTATTTCATTGTACAAGTAAAATTATTGTCTGACACGAAAGTCCTTTTTGCTGTTGGTTTGTTATCATTATTGTTATTCAATTCCTATCTTTAATTGATGAAGTTCAGTTTTCCTGCATGATCTCCAAAATTGTTGACATTGATGAAGATGACTACCGCTAAGGTTGTCGAAACATCATTTAACAACAACAAAAACAGTCCTTCTCAGGACTCTACTAGCCTGGACGATCTACATCTACAAATATGTAACGATACTCCCGGGTTCAAACCATTTACTTTATTGTTGACATTACGGTCAAACTGCAGTCTCTTTACAGAAAAATCAAAGGTATAGACAAAGGTCATTTTATAAAACCATACGCAAACAGATATTATTTGAAATGTCAACAATGATGGAGATCATGCATAAAAACTAAATGGTGAAATACCGTGAAATTTTATCATCAAAGATCAAATTTATTCTCGTGGCAAGATGATTTTAGAGCATTGTACCGGGACCTTTAATGAAGAAAAACCTAAAAAAGTTTGCTTTTACGACAGAAATAAAACGTTGTAGGTAACATACTCACACGCGGGAGATATAAATTTACATTCTTAAAATCTTCTTTCAAATCAATGAAATGAAAGTGATCAGTAGTTATAAATCTATCTTCACAAAAGAAAAACTTACCAAAGCCTACAACAAAATTCATAGTTAAACTGTAAATAATTTGTAGGTTTTTCACGTCAAATACTTTCATATACAGTTTTGGGTCACCTATTAATAATGTATTTGCTGAAGGTGAAAAATCTGCGTAATGAATACTGCCAGTAATATCGTGTATATTTTCAATGTCTTCACGTGTCATTAAATTGGCGTTTTCCTCCTTAATTACGTCGTCCCAACCATTAACAAGTTTATCTTCATGCCACATACAGTAAATTATCTGACCCTTAAATTCAACTTTTGCAAACACGTGATACTTAGAGCTACATGCAAATACGTGCACATTTCGATAATTTTCAAAGTTCACTGATATTTCTTTACGCTTGTTTTCAACATTGAAAAATACAAAAGAATCAGTTTTTTGACAAGCAAATAATACATCACTCATCTCAAAAATTTTGTTTATACCTTTTAGTTCATCAAAACTATAAACAAGTTTTGTCAAATCATTATTCCAAAGCTCAGGAATATTTTTTGCCGTAAGCAAAATAACTCCATTTTCTACAGCAACCATGTCACTAAAAAAACATTCCTTGACAATAAAGTCAAACGTGTTGAGATTGTATATATTTACCCTTGAGTTTTCTTGATTGCTCCGATACAGAAATTTTCCATTTGAGCAAAATATCTTGTTATAAAAAGTGTATCTGTCAGTTAAACATGCACGCGGTATTGAATAAAGATGAAAGTCACGTCCGTATTTAAACCAAAGAACATTGTCGTTATTCAAAATAAAATAATAATTTCCTGCTCCATAAAGAGAAAAGCTAGATCCGTTGTCATCGAAAGGATCAAGAGGAATGGGAGTATAGGAAGTAAGGGAATCACGATCAAAGTGAGGAAGTTTTTCACCAGTGAGATTTACAATGAAACGTTTATTCGTATAAAAACGAAAGCAACAACACCAAGAATGAAGACCAACAGTGAACAAAACACCAAGCTTACTTAAATTACCAGACGGTAAATGATCGTCGTAAACGAATGTTTCATAATTATTCGCTACATCAAATATTTGAACCTCTCTTTTTTCCTCAATAACACACAAATATCTTCCAGAATTAGAAAAACACAGTGAGTTCACCACATTATTACATCTAATACTGCGTTTCTTCTCACCTTTCTCAACGTCCCATACTGTCAAAGTATCTTGGTAACTAGTGACCATTGTGTCCTTATTCTTAGAAAAACATTTGTTGGTAAAGAACTTAGAAGTAGAATCATCACAATGGAACGGACTGGAGGAAATTTTACCATTAATATCTAGTACCTTATCAAGCCGGGAAGCAAAAATCAAATCTTTGAATGGATGAAAGACAACGCAAACGTTTTTCTCTTCATATTGCTTAAACTGACCAGCAATATTCCTTATCCATAAACATCGGTTTGTTCTCAATGAAAAAAGTTGCACGACGAATCCAGAATAACCACAGACGACGTAATCATGATTTCGTGAAACATCAACAGAAATCAAATTTTGATGTAAACGTAATAATTGAGACTTTAAAAAACCCGTGTCTCTGTACTCTAGATATGGTGAATCTTTGAAACGTGTTTGAAGCATTGTGGTGGCTTGAGACGACAGATCTTTGACTTCGTCGACAACGTATTGCAAAAAAAATTCTTCATGGTCAAAGCGCATAGGGTACGTCATTACAGAATAAACTTCATTAAATAACAATCGAATGTCCTCAGAAATAAGAAAGTACACATCATGTGCGATGAATAATTTAAAATTTTCAAAAGTCCGACGACCATCAACCAACACAGAAGCAACTAAAACTTCCAAGTCAACAAGATATTTAGCAACATTTTCAACGATATAATCATTATCAGAAATATCAAGTAAATGAAGCAACCAATACTTGACTGAATATCTCACTGACGCATGTTTGATGACGTCATAGTTCACACCTTCAGCTTTGAGGTTATCCAAAGATTTTAAACAAAATTCTAAAACAAGTCGATGACCACAAAGAGTTTTTACTGAGTAATCATGTTTTCGATCATCCAACAACCAATCATTTAAGGATTTGTGAAAAAACAAAACGCATCCTTCTTCATTGGTAACAAACAAACAAGAGATAATTTTTCTAACCTCAAGTGAATCGCGATTCGAATTCAAACAAAGAACGTCATCGATCATTTCCCAAGGAAGAGGTTCCTTAGCAACAGCCAAAATATTTAAAATTGACTGAAACTTTTCGTTACTGATATCAAACGAATATAATTCTTTACTTAATCTTGTTAAGCTAATTTCGTAATATTCACTAAGATCTTTTGGTATGGACGCATTCAACAAATCCTGATTTTTGACTTCACTGGTAAGAAGCGATGCAAGCAACATAAGTCCGTCAGCTTTTTCAACCAAAATATTTTTAAAATCAAGAAGGCTGTCAGTAGAGCCAATTCTTTCTTCAATCAAAATTTAATATCCTCTAAATTGCGATCATCGCTACAATTAATGAACAGTGGATTTAATTTTTCGAACTTATTCAAAGCAACTTCGTTAGGTCTCGTTGTAATTACAAAGCGAAAACAATGCGGAAGTTTGTGTAAGTGATTAGCAATCAAATTAGCAAGGTCATCTCTTTCTGGATAACCACATTCATCAAGAGCATCAACACAACTAGAATTCGCTTGGGAACTCTGAGATTATAACAAACAACTCAGTAAAAGAAGGAAAATAATCCTTCAACATTCATGTTTTTCAAAGGCTCAGAGAGTTGACCTGAAAGTTTTTTCACAAGAAGTTGTTTGTAAGCAGGAAAAAGACGACTAATTTGCATCGCTAAAGATTGAAGAAGTACGTTGGCTTTATTGTAACGACTGTTGTTATGTTGAAAGAAATGAACTGCAGTCAAATATTGTGGATAACGTTTACATAAAGTAGCTGCAATTACAGACTTTCCCATGCCAGCAACAGCAGAAATAATAAATGCACGATTTTGAGAACTGTCGTCTTCAAACCAAGCCAAAACTCATCAAAACCCATTCCCGAGTTCCTCTAAAATTTTTCATTATGATGTCTAATTTCACTTTCAAAGTTACAACTTACAAGGTGACGTTTCATTTCTTCCTGATGACTTATCATTTCTTCCTGTTTACTTTCAATTACACACAAACGATTATGTACATCAAATTTGAATTTGTCCCATTCTTTCACAATTCTTTCACATTCTTCATTACCAAACAACTCATTTTTCAATCTATCTATTTCTTCCTGACTTATTCCTAAACGAACTAATGGTTCGCTTATTTCCGCCCAATGATATTCAAATTCATCAAAGCTTAGTGAAGTGTCAGGTAAGTGAGCAAAACGATCATTACGAAATAACCTGATACGGGTAATATCTGCTTCAGTTGAATAATCAGTGGGGTCATTTACTGACGTCCATATTGGATCACGAGGTGATTTTAAACCACAAATATTACGAAGGAGTATACAAAGTAAAGTAATGTCAAACTTATTTTCATTTGGTAATATTGGAGGATCTGGATACAGTTGATCCCACTGATGTGGATGGATTTGTCTATTCTTTAGACTTGAAAGTAGTTGCGCATTTTCGGGGTCATTTAAAACATAAAATAAATCAGTACCTGACAGTTGTTTCCTCAATGTTATTCTTAAAGCTTCTCCACCAACATCAACAATTAATCTCATCAACTTAAAACCATTAGTTTTCTTTTTAGAGCTCAAGGCAGTCTCCATGTCGCTACCTGTAGAAAAAAAGTAGGTAAGACTTCCATGGTACAAATTCATTGTGATTATAAAGGAAAACCTGCGGCCAGTTACATGAAGGCAGAATAGTTTTATCCATTAGATAGCAAATTGTTTTGAACTTTTACAAAATCTCTTAAAAAGGAATAATATGTGATTTGTACTAAGCAATCATTGAAATATTGCTTCTAAGATTACAAAATATCTTTCCCCTAAGGAAAATATAAACACCTTTTTCTACAAGTTTGAAAATTTTACTATCCGACGAACAATGCTATCCAGGCTTCATGCAACCGTCCCCAGATGTACAAGGTACATAAAAATATGTACGAGTGTGTACATGTGGGTAGCCTTGACCATAGTTACATTACATGGAACAAACAGTAGTCAGTAGTCCAACTGCTTAGTGTTGTATTTTTCATTAAGTGAAGTCTTGAGGCCATTACCAAGGTCAAGTCCCAAGGTCATTCCGTAATAATAAAATATGAGAAATAACAAAAAATATTTTGATGTCAAAATGCCACAAAATAATCAACGATAATGGTTCGGATTTTGACTCCAAAGTATGGATGATCGGAAAGACACAAATTCTAATCTCATCTTTTTTAGGCCCTGGAAAATTAGCGTTCTTTTGATACGGTAAACTACTAAACTGACGCTCTAAATCCTCTCGTTTTAATCGAGCCGAACAAAGTGTTGAAGCAATGGACGGCTCAAATACGCGCTTTGCTTTAAAACCCAGATATTCCGTCTTCGCTTGGCCTCGTGTCTTTTATCATTATAAGGCATAGTGTGAAGACTCATACGTTAGCAAAGGCTTGACTCATTCGTACAATTGGCTGAAACGCAACTATTTACCTTTTTTCTGCTTTTACTAGTGCAAAGGTAATGCTTTTAGGCGCTTATAGACTTAAGTTGTGCCTCAGCCAGCATTGCCTTGATAGCAATTAAATACACGACTCGTGTAACACGTGTACCTTGGATGACGTCAGAAAATTAGCTAGTTTCAGACTCCTCATTATCACGGACATAGTTCACAAGAATATACGATTTTAGTGAATTTAACGCTTTTACAAAAATTTTTTCCTCAACGAGGCGTAGAATCATCGACAGATTTGATATTGCTAAAAAATTTTTTGATGGAAGGGACACTTTAAGACTCACAAGGTAAAATATCTATTATTTTCACAGTAAAAGAATAAAAAAAACGTACATAGAAGGACTAAACATTTTATCAGTCTGGCTACACCACTGAAAATTTTATTCTTTAAAAATTCATAACCATTATCATTGTCTAGAAGGTATTATGATAAAAAAAATGAGCAGGTGTAATTTATTTGAACTAATACTTCATTCACGACTTAGGACCTAAGGAAGACATAATGTAATTGAGGCACAGTTATAGGAACATATAGTACAATTTTATAGAGAACATACAGTAGATTGCATTGAATATTTTTGTGCCATGCATATCTTATTCCACAAGTGATTACCATAGTGGCAGTCAGACACTACCATTTTTTGACCAATATAGGTGCACTGAGCTGTCAAACTACACCCAGTAATATAATTATATATACAGCAGTAAGTTGCACAGAAAGTTGGTCCTACTGTATATTCTCTATACTGTGGTTGGGGTGACATAAACATTTGGATGTAATGATCCCTAGACAACAATGGTTTTCAAAGGAACTTAACACATGTAGCCTATATTATGCATACATAATATGATCTCCAAATTAACAATTATCCTACAGTCCTGCCACAGTTTTTCTTACTAAAATAGGGAGTGTGTCAAGAAGTCAACAAAAGTGATGAAAGCAACAAAAATGGTCAACAAAACATTGTAATAAGAAAAACAATGAAAACTTGGTGGGCATAATTTCTATAAGAGTTGACCAAAAATTGTGTAAAAGATGTAAGAATCTGTACGCCTATGACCAAAACCATTTTTCATTAGTTAGATTATTATTTCAAAAAAATAGGCAAACTACATGAAATAGCTAGCAACTGAAGAATAAAAACATATCATATACATAAATCAATATGAGCCCCAACCCAACAATTATAGATCTTCCTGTACATAAATGAATCCAAGTAAATAGATCTTGTAACAAAAATATATTTAGCAACCACAAATTGTCTACAATCATTGATCAATTATAAAAGTTGAAGAACACATATAAAATATTGACTTTAGTATGTTATTTCAGTAGCAAATCAACACATATCAACAAACAAGTTTTATCATATCAAAAGTTCAAAATATGTTGATGTACATAACTAAGTGATGAAAACCCTCTACAACGATTATTTTAAGATTAAACGATGACAAAAATAACTTTCGAGCAAGAACAAATCATGTTAAACACAGTGATTTAATGTTCTGCTTCACTTATATTCATTTCCTGTACAATGTTTGAAATCTAACTTGAATATCTTGTTTATGTTTGTTGTATTTTATGGTTTAACAATAACCATGTTTAAATGCTTGTGAAGAATAACAAAGCAAACTAGTTTTAAGGTCGAATCATACCTACATTAGTCAAAGTCTTAAGTAAAATTTAAATAAAAAACTGTCTTTGTTCCACTTAGACAGATACGTAAATTAAAATTAATTCGAGTCGCCATCTAGAGATGCAAAATCTTTATCTTACCGTTTTATTAGATGGAAGGAATATTTCTTGATATCGTGATCATATATTGCCAGAAAAATATCTCCAACTTACGTTGACGTGGATGATATTTGATAACATAAAGACTTTTAAATACTCTCACAGCAGGCTAACGCTCCTTATTTATGTGCAATGTGTTACGCGTGTGATCTCGCGTGACTTCCACGTATGTATGGTCAAAGATTTTATACTTTGGGCAACTCTCACCACAATATGACCAACCGTTAACTCAAACACTTTCACCAAACCGCTTATTAAAATAACTCATACGTAAATAGTAAAACACGAAAAAATAGGGCGCAATAAGAACGAATGACTTTACTACTTTTTTGCAATGCATATGAAAAACGAGAATGTTTTTAGGGTTTGTCATAGCAAATGTTTTTCAATACCTGTGCTGGGCCTTTCAAAACCTATGCTAGGTTTTTCGATATCTATGTTACACGTTAGTGCTAATTAGCAGGCCTTCGTGAATATTAGTGTAATTTTAAAATGAGAATCTGAAAATTTTTATTGTCAATTGTTTCTCGGTCTTGTCAATTCCTTGGAGAAGATAGCAAAATTCATTTTATTTCTAGGAAATTATGAAAAAACCCATGAAAGGGGGATGACCACCTTTAAGAGCATAGCTATAAATGGTACTGTCACATCTGTGTTGTGTCAGCTGTAGTCTGTGTATTCAATGTATTGATCAATTTTCAGTCATAAGCAAAACATTATAAGGTTAGCACTATTTTCCACCCAGCAAACCGCCCTTTACTTTGAAATATAATATTTTACACAATATAATATTTTACACAATCTAATATTTTACACAATATAATATTTTATATAATATTTTACACAATCGTCGAAAAACGACATATTTTCCAGCCTGGATTATAAGTTTATAACTTAAGGTGGTTGCATGAAAATTTATACTGCAACATTTATCTGTAAATATTTTCATATGTTGATATTAAAAACTGTATTATAAAAATATAAAATTACTCGCCATCTCAAAACGACCTAGCACCAGTGCATGCATGGTTTCCTTTTAGCTTTTGGTTCTTTCCCATTAGCCGCCACCTTTAATTTATTTCCGATTGTGTAAAGTAAAGGGCGGTTTGCTGGGTGGAAAATAGTGCTAACCACATTATAAATGCAAATTTTCAATGTCACATGAGCCCGAGTAACCGGGATTCAGCGAGGCGTGAAACAATTTTGAGGAAGTGAAAGGAGTAAAAAGTTCAAGTGCAAAACTTACAACCTTTTCTTAAGCGTCATAAATCATTTCAGTTTCAATTTTCAAATCAGACTAAATTATTTGTTTTCATTTTTAAAGGTTTTGTAAACTTGCAAAGTCAGAGCATAGAGAAATTGCTCAAAAAAGGTTTTTCTTGTGAAGTACTTGATCTTTTTCATTTGCCAAAATGATTTAACGCTTCGCTGAATCCCGCTACTTGACTCATGTGAGCAGTCCCTTAATCCTGCTGCGTTTAAAGTCGCATTGGGAACAAGCTACACTGATTTATTCTTAGTCATTCAAACTGTGTTACTCAAGTGTTTGCATTTACTTCAGACAGATAGTGCGCTACATAAGATTCAAATATCTGAACTTTACATACAGTAAAACCATTTAAAACAAAAGATGACGAGGAATTTTATCTCAAATTCTTTTATTTTCAATGCATTCAGTTAATGTAAATTTCTGCGTTTGAAACTGACCTAACAACGCACTCCTTCCTGAGGAAAGCTCGTTCAAGTGGAGAGAGGGGGAAGGGGCACAATAGCACAAATGTATACACTATTCAAAAGAACGCTGAATTTTACACAATTCATTGCTTGATAATAGAAGAAGTGATGGTATGCTCCCCCCGACTCTCCTGCTCCGCGGTATCTTAGATACAGACAAATAAACCGCTTGTTCACAGCTTAAAACACATAATTTGTGAAAACGTTTCACTTTCTGCTGCTTTAGTACGGACTACGAAGTTGTTTAGAATTTGAATCTGAATTCGCAAAACTAATGCAGGAATAATAAAACTACAAAGAATTTGGCAACTTACACTTGACTTACATTTATACTATTGAAATTTTGCCATAATTTATCAAAAAGTCATGGACCTTTTAAGAACTCTTAATAAAAATAATTTTGATTCTACAACTTATTCGTTACTTATCCGTTTAGTTTTGATTACTTCGTAAAAAGTGGCCACCATTTTTTCATCATCATCATCATCATCATATCTTGTCGCGCCAATGGGCGATCCAAACTCGGGCTGGAAGTTTGGAAGTGTAGCGCGTGTTGTAGCAATCAGTCGAAATCAGGGACGGCACGTGAAGCCTTGCTACTTGTCCCCTTTTTCATCATAAAACTTGGTCATTCAAGAGAAAGAATGTTGTGTTACGTACTTTCACCTGGGTCTGAAGAAGTTAACTTTCCTCAAGAGTCAAGACCATAAATGTTGTGTTACGTACTTTCACCTGGGTCTAAAGAAGTAAACTTTCCTCAAAAGTCAAGACCATGTTGTGTTACGTACTTTCACCTGGGTCTAAAGAAGTAAAATTTTCCTCAAGAGTCAAGACCATGTCGTGTTGCGTACTTTCACCTGGGTATAAAGAAGTAAACTTTCCTCAAGAACCAAGACCATGTTGTGTTACGTACTTTCACCTGGGTCTAAAGAAGTAAACTTTCCTCAAGAGTCAAGACCATGTTGTGTTACGTACTTTCACCTGGGTCTAAAGAAGTAAACTTTCCTCAAGAGTCAAGACCAAGTTGTGTTACGTACTTTCACCTGGGTCTAAAGAAGTAAACTTTCCTCAAGAGTCATGACCACAAGACATGCTTTGACAAGATTTAAAAAGAAAATTTCGCGCTTTAGCGTGCTGTCAAGTGAGAATCATGAGATACCAAGGCCTGTTTCATACGTCGCATTTTACATCAGCCGAATGCATTAGAGGCAAAAGAAAATGAGATAAAATTCCTCATTATCTTTTAAATGTATTTGCCTCAAGTAAAATGCGACGTATAAAACAGGCGCAAGTCTCATCTGCAGTTTTAGTTTTAAGCTTCGAACTTACGGCAATAGTTCACTCACCAATTTAGCAAATTACTTTCGAACGACTTAAAATTATAGCATTCAAATCAAAATTCAAAAATATTGTTGTTGACTTCCAAACTCGAATAACATGGCAATTGCTGTAACAATGACGAAGTACGTAAAAAAATTTATTTTATATTATACAAATACTTTGGTGAAATGCGTCGTCAGATCTTAATGTAACACCCGACAATGACATAAGGCTATTTAGAATGTGAGAAGAAAATAATAGAACAGCAAGTTCTTCGTATTAGAAAAAACTAATTTCTAGTACAAAGTCTATTGGCCCATTAGCAAAGCCATTGGCCCATTGACAAAGCCAAAGTGAGGCGATAAAAAGATAAAACCCTAAGGCCGACGTTATATTGACATATTTATACCACACATTAATCGCCAACGCATGTCATTGATGATGTCACGTGTCATTTTACTATAACATCCCCTCAGGCCCTCACTTACGAAGGTTTACAATGCTCTACGAAGTTGTGATACATGATATTTTCCTTTTCCAAAGGGAATTCTTAGTTCAAAAAATATATGCTCTAGATGATTAGATAAGCAAATGATCTGAGGAGGCAAAATCATGAGAAAACTTTGAAAATTCAGAACTTTAGACGGCTGAAAATGACCATTTTATAGATAACCTTTTTAAAGTCATTATATTACATGCTCACGGAAATAGCAAAATCTTAGAAGTTTTTTTTTCAAAACATTTTTTCCAAGAATTAAAAGCCCAAAGGACCAAGATGTTGATTACATTAGAAAGTTATCAGGGCTAGGAGAAGCAGAATGTGATTAATATATACGATGAATCCCCGATCTTCTGTGCTTAGAAACAAAGCGGGACAAAAAATTTCGTTGAATATAACCAATTTACACCTTGCCCATTGGTCAATATGTTAAGCATACTTACGAACAGAATTATTGTACAGTTACAATGCTTGATTATTCCCAATGGTTATTGAATTTGTTACTTTTTGAATTTTTAATGACCTTCTCGGCTAACATTGACAATTCCAATAACTTATTGACAACAAAAAAACTTATTTGGTTACAACAGATAGGGTGCCCCTCCTTATTTGACTAGACATTATTGGATACAAAAAATATCAAGTTGTTTTACCCCATAATATCTCTAACCTGTATGTACTTTCCTATTAATGACATTGGCATTATATTGCACGTGACGATATTTGAACCTTAATTAACTTACTTGAGTAAGTCTACATTTTACTATAGACTAATGATAAAAATGTTCTATTTATGTTCTAATTTGATCTGTCTATTCCATAACAGGGGCGTAGCAAACTCGTTCATGAAAGTGGGGAGGGTTCAAATTTATAAATGCATGTCTTAATCTATAGAAAACAATGGATTTCAAAAAGAATTTGATTCCGCAGAACATGCATGTATGAATACGTTCTCCCCCAATTATTGAGTTTGCTAAACAATTGCATATGGATGTAATATTTATGATCATTGTAACAACTTCAATGGTTGTGAAAAGACAAATTGTATTTCCACATGCCATAACAAATTACAGTCATCAAAGTTCCGGATGAACCGACATAAAATCAAGATGACAGTCCATATTCTGCCTGCTGTCCTCAAAGAGATTGCTGACCTTAAGGTCTATTAATTCAAGTCCACTTAGTTCATCTTGATTTGTTTCCTGGAGTGAATTGGCATCATCAACTTGATTTGATTCCTCTGTCAGAAATTATAGAAATTAGTAAAAAGGTTTTTTGTTTGTTTGAAAATGTAGTCGAGAACGGTATGTAGTGAAAGACAGCCAATCTATTGACTCGTGAAAGTCATAGTGGAATACATCGTAAACAAGCTTAAAGAAAAATGACAGAATCAAGCACAACCAGATTTGTCAAATGGATCACTTTAGGGCAGGCCCTGTGAACTGTGAGTAGGGGTGTCCCAAGAAAGTTAATGGGAGGGGGCTTATTCACATGTTTAGTTGCGTCCAACTGATTTCTTTTGAAAGCAATTGAAAGTGCCAATGCAACAAAAATTTGCAAGTTAAATTATGTTTGCAATGACTAGAACCTTTGAAATTACAGTGTACTTTCTAAAACAGTAAATGCATATTCTCGTGATTTTGACGTTTTTGTTATTTCCAATTTATCTAACTTGTGACGTCATATTGCATAATGAGTTCCCACAATGTTTCAAATACTCTTCAGTTTCCTGACAACTTCAGGTTGATACTAGTAGGCACCATTTTATACCATTAACCCCGTCACAATGAAAGGAACTCTGTCGTTGTGAAGTAAAGTATCAGTAAATATACCTAATAATTTTAGTTCTCATTATGCAATGTGACGTCACAAGTTAGATATATCGGACATAGCAAGAACCTCAATATCTCAAGAATTAAAAGTGATATGCATAAACTGGTTTAGAATGTCCATTGTCATTTTAAAATATCTCTTCAATAAAGTATTACTCAGATAACAAAATTTTCGTTTCATAGGCAGTTTAAGAAATTAAACAACTCGCTTTCAAAAAAATCAGTCAGGCACAATTGAATATATGAATAACACACCCTCCCCCACCAATCAACGTTTACCAGGTGGCCGTGACTGTGAGATGTATGTGCGGGGGTATCAAAAAAATAGTCAGTGACGAAAAACTTTGCTAAATTGATCAGCGCGCAATATTTGCAAAAATTTTAAGTGGAAATAGGCAGTTGGACTTCCAATGGTTCATCTGATAGTTAAGTAAAATTGTTTCAAATAATAACCTTTTTAGAGGGAGGAATGTGTTACAGAGAAGTGCTTTTGAAGTAGCTCACGCACAAAAATGACAAAGCTAAATGCAATTGAAACACATAGGATTAAAATATGTCACACTTTGTTCAAGCAAATGAAGTTTCAGGGAATTTGGCAAAAGCGTACCCGAACAATTAGCTTCTAAATCACAGATTATTTTGTTTTCGTTTTTTAATAACTTTTTATAGCTCTCTTCAATTATGTATAAATTTCAGTTTCCAAAAAAACCTGAATCATTATAAACAGAAAAATTGATGATGATTTATGTATAATGTCATATAAACCGAAAAACACAAATTAATCTACGATTCGAAAGACGAACGTTCGCGTAAGAATCGTCCAAATTTCCTGAAACTTAATTTGTGTGAACAACATATGCCATATTTTAACCTTATGCGTTCCAATTGCAATCTATTCGTGTCATTTTTAGGGCAAGCTTTTTTAGATTAGTTTCTGGGTTACAAATTTTTTACTCTAACAACGATTATGATTTACGGAAATTTAACTGCAATAACGTAAATGGTTTGAACCCTGGCGTATCGTTACATGTTTCTAGATGTAGATCGTCATGGTTAGTAGAGTCCTGAGAAAGTCAACTTGACTTTAAATGTGACGACTGCTAAGGAAGTAAAAACGTCAGTCAACATCAATAACTGTAACAACGTAAATGGTTTGAACCCTGACGTATCGTTACATGTTTTTAGATGTAGATCGTCATGGTTAGTAAAGTCCTGAGAAAGTCAACTTGACTTTAAAGGTGACGACTGCTAAGGAAGTGAAAACGTCAGTCAACATTAATAACTGTAATAACGTAAATGGTTTGAACCCAGACGTATCGTTACATGTTTTTAGATGTAGATCATCATTGTTAGTAGAGTCCTGAGAAAGTCAACTTGACATTAAAGGTGACGACTGCTAAGGAAGTCAAAACGTCAGTCAACATCAACAACTGTAACAACGGAAATAGTTTGAACCCGGACGTATCGTTACATGTTTCTAGATGTAGATCGCCATTGTTAGTAGAGTCCTGAGAAAGTCAACTTGACTTTAAAGGTGACGACTGCTAAGGAAGTCAAAACGTCAGTCAACATCAATAACTGTAATAACGTAAATCATTTGAACCCGGACGTATCGTTACATGTTTCTAGAGGTAGATCGTCATTGTTAGTAGAGTCCTGAAAGTCAACTTGACTTTAAAGGTGATTACTGCTAAAGAAGTCTAAACGTCAGTCAACATCAATAACTGTAATAACGTAAATCGTTTGAACCCGGACGTATCGTTACATGTTTCTAGATGTAGATCGTCATGCTTAGTAGAGTCCTGAGAAAGTCAACTTGACTTTAAAGGTGACTACTGCAAAGGAAGTCAAAACGTCAGTGAACATCAATAACTGTAATAACGTAAATCGTTTGAACCCGGACGTATCATTACATGTTTCTAGATGTAGATCGTCATGCTTAGTAGAGTCCTGAGAAAGTCAACATGACTTTAAAGGTGACTACTGCCAAGGAAGTCAAAACGTCAGTCAACATCAATAACTGTAATAACGTAAATCGTTTGAACGCAGACGTATCGTTACATGTTTCTAGATGTAGATCGTCATGTTTAGTAGAGTCTTGAGAAAGTCAACTTGACAATAAAGGTGACGACTGCTAAAGAAGTCTAAACGTCAGTCAACATCAATAACTGTAATAACGTAAATGATTTGAACCTGGGCGTATCGTTACATGTTTCTAGATGTAGATCGTAATTGTTAGTAGAGTCTTGAGAAAGTCAATTTGACATTAAAGGTGACTACTGCTAAGGAAGTCAAAAACGTCAGTCAACATCAATAACTGTAATAACGTAAATGGTTTGAACCTGGGCGTATCATTACATGTTTAGATGTAGATCGTCATTGTTAGAAGAGTCCTGAGAAAGACAACTTGACATTAAAGGTGACTACTGCTAAGGAAGTCAAAAACGTCAGTCAACATCAATAACTGTAATAACGTAAATGGTTTGAACCTGGGCGTATCATTACATGTTTTAGATGTAGATCGTCATTGTTAGAAGAGTCCTGAGAAAGACAACTTGACATTAAAGGTGACTACTGCTAAGGAAGTCAAAAACGTCAGTCAACATCAATAACTGTAATAACGTAAATGGTTTGAACCAGGACGTATCGTTACATGTATCTAGATGTAGATCTTCATTCTTAGTAGAGTCCAGAAAAAGTCAACTTGACTTTAAAGGTGACGACTGGTAAGGAAGTCAAAACGTCAATCAACAACAAGAAAAAAGTCCTTTTTATGACTCTATAAACCTGGACGATCTACATCTACAAACATGTGAAAATTTGACATTAGTTAAATCATTGGAAGACAAATTACTTATTTCCAACAAAGGTTTTTGCGAGCCTTGTACGCTGATCGATTTAGCAACGTCATCTCAACTGTGTTGTTTTTTCAATTTTCCCCAATCCTTTGGGGTAACCATTACCTCCGTAGGATTTCTAGCACTTCAACAGGACAGCATATTGATATTTACTGTCTCGATTAAGAGACAAATCGTTTGTTCGTAGGGACTTACTGCCACTGTAGGATTTTAATGGAATATGAATTTCAACAATCGCTTGCAACTAAAAAATATGTCAAACATGTCAAATACATCGTAAATATGAGTGGACAACAATTAATAAGAATTTATAAAATTTCAATGTCGCCAGTGAGGTGCAAGGTTTGAATGGAATTCTAAATATAAAGAAAAGATTTCAAAAGATCGTATTTGAGAAAGCCATCCGCATTTGATTTTTTCAGTATTTATTTAAAAAAGCAAGCGACCTTTCGTCTTGACTCAAGACTTCTCATACTAATTGCATAGAGTTAAGCCTAGGCCACACTATCGTCGATAATCACGAAAACGAAAACAAAACGAAAATTCGTGCACAAAATACATGCCGGACACGACGTAAAATTGCAAGCATGTTTACAAAGATCGGCCAAAACGTAAACGGTATTATTGCTGGATGTGTCTCTGTAGTAGCCGTTGCAGTAACAAAACAAGCAAAAAAGAAAAGGTGTCTTCCTTTGGCAAGAAGTTACTCCTTCTGAAGTTGAAAGCAAGCATTTAGCAAGACAATCAAACGCCGATACTAGATTGACCCGATTAATAAACGACGTGATCGACTTGGATTATTTAACAATTTGACTGAAAAGTTACGAGAACCGAACAAAGAAAACAGACTCATAAAATAATTGCGAATGACGACAAATTGTTTTTTCTCGCATCGGATTTATTAAAACTCATGCCACCCCGCCATCTTTGTGTAGTTAAGTTTTAGATTATTAGCCAATTGCATGCGTTTTCGTTAACGAAAAATGTCAAAAGTTTAACTCTTCTTATGAGCACAAAAACGAAATTTTCGTTGAGTTTTCGTTCAAGATTTTCGTTGCGGCAGTTTTCGTTCTAATTTTCGTCGATATGGACGATAGTGCGGCCTAGGCTTTACTACGATGCTCAAAAGTTCCTGTTTATTACTTTTACTTTGCTGTGTGCCTTTTCACAGGAAGCAACTATCTATAACTCCCTTTTTTCTCTTCAGATCTTAAAAACTCTTAAATTGGTCTTTGGAATAATTGGGAGAGATGAACGTCCCTCTCAGCTCTCTTTATGGTAAATTTCCCCCCATTACTCACCCCCTCCCCTTTATATCTTGTACAATCTTTCTTACATTTCCTTACAATACTCAATATCAGCTTTACACTGTAAGTACACATCCACACAAACCTCACACCTTAACTATCTAAGTAATTACATCTCATTTGAAGATGTCTTGAGTCGAGACGAAACGACAAACGTCAATTTGTTTTAATAAATATCAAAGAAATTGAATGCTTTTGGTTATCTTTGAAACGATCTGTTGGACTCTAACCTTTAGGTTGATAATTCAATAAAATTCTTTAATATTTCAAACAGGTTACCTTCTTCAGTACATAAAACACTGTCTAATTCTTGTTGATCAACGTTATCAACGTCGTCGTCGGCGCTCATGATTCACTGTATAAAGAAAAAAACGTCAAACTAGATCAATTGGTCAATTTTCACTTCAAAATATCATTTAATTTCAATAAACATCGACTACAAATTATCTACGAGCATAATTTCTGTTCAACGAGAATGATCATGACGAAGTAAGAGATCGCGAACTATACAATATCACATGTGCAAATGCGTCATTATGTCGTAACAAAACCCCATCATTCTTTGCGGACGCAGACGTGGTGCATAATAAAAGTGAAAGCGGTTAAGGAGAGTAGCCTTTTGTCATTTCTCAAATAAATATGTTGACTGATGACTCTAAGCGATAAAATAAAACGCAGTCTACTGCTGTCGACACCTTAAGGATAAAATTGAATTTCAACAGATAAATTTTCACAAACTCTTTCGATTTTTGAAATAGAATTTGCCAACAACCCTCATGCATAGCGCGTGTTTGTTCATTTCACATCAAAACAATTGTAAAATCACATATATCAACTATTGTTACTAAAAAACGAATATCAAAAATTCATCAAACATTGCAGTGATTAGTACAACGAAACATGTAACAATAAATTCAAATTTGAGAAGTGTTATGTCCCAACATTTCTAGGAGTGAATGTTTATTAAATGATTTTTATCTTCTGTCGAACACTCGAAGATATTTCGAACTTGTGGAAGCTAATTTTTGTTTACAAGCAGTAACTAACGGTGATTTACATTGACTAGTGTTTGGGATCGCATGTAATTTGCCATTGCTTACAATCATTCAGACAATTTATCAAACTTTTAGCAACCTATAGATAGCGAATGATCACGGAAATAATCTTAACACTCTGTGACAAACTGGAATTCAAATTCAGAAGTTTGTTCCCATGTACTTTACTTAAGTCACTTAAATTCGAGCAACAAATACTTAATACATGATATTCACCTTTTGATGAAAATGCCTTTCACAATTTTATCGAAATTTTCGTAAGGCGTCTTCTCCAATGAATACGATAACTTGAAAATAAAATTATTGACCTCAGGAAGAATGTCATATGATCTCTGCGTGACTAGAAATACTATATGATTAAATATCATGTGTATAAACTCACGCTAGTTAACCTAGTTTCTTTCAATAATTGACGAAAATTGATAAAAGAATTTTTGGTTTCACAAGAATTATTCCACAATATACAGCATAAGACTTCGGTAGAGAAATTTTTTATCTCACTGTAAATGCTACAAGCAAGAAAATACTGGATATTAAAAGTGCAAATTTAATAGTCAATTGGTAAAGAAGTGACGACAATAAAAGTGTAGATTTTAGGGGAGGTCTGGTAGTGCAGCCACCAAAAATATTAAAGAAAGTTGAAACATTGCCCAGAAAAACTCAGTTCAACTGTACTACTGATTTGTTTTGTTAAAAATTGAGGGAATTCAAATATTTCCGACAGGGGTGTGCAATTTATTTTTGGGAGTTAAATCTAAAGTTTGCGTGCCCCCCATGTAACTCTCCTCATTAAATCTGTCCATGTTTTATAGTGATTATCTCATAAATGGCAGGAGACATGGTAAAGCTAAATTAAGAAAGTTCTTTTAAAATACTTTTATTTTCTTGGATTACAGTAATTCACTCTACAAATATCGAATAAAGAACAATTTTTCGTTGAAAGAAAACTTACATCGTCGATAGGAAAACAATTCTTATACTAATTCTTCCTAAGTTAAAATGGGAATAATAGTATATATCAATATATGAGTGACTATTTTACTTTCATTGCAAATTCGTAATAGTTAAATTTTAACGTTGCCAACAAATAGCGACACTCTTATTTAAGCAACATTTTTCAAAGATGAAAGTTCAACATACACCATGTCATGAAGAAATTTATATTGCATACGAATGAACGTAAGTTGTGATCTAAACATGTTTTTGCTCAATAACCACATACCCAGAACTACATACGTTGTCTGTGAATTTTAGATAGGTGTGCTAAATATACAATGAAAAATATTAGCTACATGAAAACTTTGCAAAGAACGTGAAATTAGCACGATAATTAATATCTCATTGTTGGTCATATATAAGTAGCTAAAGGTTTAAGCTTGTACATAGCTACATAGTATCTCTTGTAATTGTTGGTAGTATTGAGCACATGCTCTGTTCTACAGAGAAAAAATCCCAGTCTGCTTTCAAGACATCTATCAACAGGCTATGCTGATTTTGTAGAACTCATTTCTTTAGAAAAAGTCCGACGTTCGCCACTCGTCAGTTTGTACATTATAAATTTCTTACAAATTTGTTATTTTTACATACCATCTTCAGAATATTCACTGTCTTTGCCATAAGATTCAGCAGTATTTAGTTCATTTGTTCCATTTTAAAATTCTTAAGGAAAGAAATTTCGTCTTAAAGAGTTTCCAACAAGAGAAACATGTATTAAAGCACAATATTTATACATGTGAAAGACAATAAAAATGTAATTTCTCAAGACAGTGATAATGTGACAAATATTGTATTCATTTGATTTACTAGTTAGAGCAATAATTAGCAATTGGGAATAATAATGTGTAGTTTTGACAAACCATAGAGGAAGACGTGGCACTGGATTTTTTTTGGCAGTCTTTTTTCAGTGAATTATCTTAAATGAAATTTTTTTTATTACTTTGTGGGTGCTTGGTTTATTGGAATATAGTTGTTTTATGTCAGGGACATAGGAACTGAAACACTTTTCCCTACAACTGAAAGATCTTGATGCATAACAATTTAAATATGAATGAATTATGTACGAAAGTGACTTGTTTGAAAACATCTGTTTGGAGCATACATTTTTTCATACAGTGGTTATCTTTGGCAATTGTGTGGTAATGTCCCAAAAATTCAAAATTTAAATACTATTTGAGACACCTTTAATAAACAGTCCACCTATATTAAGTAGACATGGTCACCTTTTTAAAGATTCAAATTTGATTTTTCATTGCTCAAAACTGTATTAAATGGCCAGGTGAATTAAAAACCCACCACATATAACAATTAGGCATTTAAAATTAAACGACAACTTTTTTTATTATAAACATCAACTTACATTAAGTCAACTTCAGTAGACTGGAAATTCGAAACATGTTTATAATAAAAAATTTTGTCGTTTATTTTAAATCCATAATTAATCTGGTGCTTTTGAGATCATACATAAATATATATAACAATTTATAAAACCAACACATACAGTGTTTTGTGAAGAAGCAAAAAATGCCATGTTCCAACAGATATTTCAGAATGCGAGATTAGTAAGAGATGTTGTGTGACTGGTAACTTTATAATAAGTCTCAAAGTATTTCAAAGTTTTTAAAAATATAATTGTATTGGGCATTAATTTGATTAAATCCAAACTGAGGTTGATGCTTTTGTTTAAATATTTTGCTACCATTATATTCAAAGATGTGTTGTCTCATTTAACACATAAACGAATGCAGCATTGATAAATTAAAATTTAAAATAAAATGAATAAAAAAAACAAATGTGTTGCCTTTTAGGTCCTTCTCAACTAAACCCCAATAACAATGACAACATTCTACAGCATAATTCATAAAATGTTCAAAATTACTGTTTTATTTATGACCAAATATAAAATAAAATGCACTCGCCAGATAATTTTGTTCAAAATCTATATTATAAATCATTAAAAAACTTTACTTACCACTGTACGTTTTACAGACATTAATGACGATGTGTTTATGGAATCATGAAGAATGGATGCATTGCATCGCTCGCGCGCACATTCTGACGATTTCTTTTCTCTTTCATTTCATAAATTTCATACACAAATATAATATTTCATAGCTCATACAACCAAACAACCACATAAACGATGACAAAAACACAAGACTAAAGAAAAAAAGTTAAATCACGTATTCATAAAACTACTTCCACTGGCATGAGCACCAAGGTCAGTATAAGCTGATATCGACCAATCACAGGTATATTTACCAGTGCCTCATATTTACGTCTACGATGTATCAACGAAATTATGGCAAGCCAAACCTGCCAAAAGTGTATCGAGATTTATAAGTCGCATTAGAATTACTATAAGTCTATTCGAGATTCGTAAAGTGGTACTCGAGATTACTATAATGCGGTGTGAAAACTATATTATTATTGTTGAGTTGTGTATGACGAGATTTATATGACGAGTTGTTTTATTAACTGTGACGAGATGTATAAGACGAGTTTTATATGACGAGTTTCATATGACGAGATTTATAAGACGAGTTTTATATGACGAGTTTCATATGACGAGTTTTATATGACGAGTTTCATATGACGAGTTTTATATGACGAGTTTCATATGACGAGATTTATAAGACGAGTTTTATATGACGAGTTTCATATGATGAGTTTATATCGCGAGTTTTCCTCTAACAACATGAAGTATTCCGTTAAAAACATGTTTGTTTCAAAAGCAGTTATTAATTATATGCAAAATTTCGGCGGGTTGGTAACTTTGTATTTTCTATCTATACTGTATCGCTCTCACCAAAATGACAGAAATGAGCAATAGAGAAATTATTCAGGAGCTTCTTGGCAGAGTTACAGAGCTGTCTGAAAGAATATCACCTGACGTGGACAGTTCTGTAAGGTCAGAAGTGAGAACTATATTTGGACGACATACGACCGCTTTGAATTTTCCAAATGCTGAAACGAGTCGCCAGAGAGAATTAACGCATCACCCTAATCAAATGGCATCAACAGCTACATTAGAGAATCGCTCCCCAATTAGAAGAAATTCATCCACTGCATTTCAATCGAGGCGCTATTTTCCCGCAAGGAGACCTGCTGCAAGAAGCCGAACAAGGCGAACTCGTTCATCAACAGCAATTGATAACAGGCCATTTTTGAGAGATTTAATCCTATTAAGCGGCTCCAAAGATAATACAGTTCCACGGCAAGGCACTCAGCTGATGTTGGTAGAAAATGGACACATGATTTCAGGTTGTCGGTTTTCAAAAGATTTGTCAGCCGCTGCTGTCGAAACTAATATAATGATGGCCTTTGATGGAAAAATTCCGCATGGTACAGATATAGAACTGTTAACATCGGTACATTCCACTCTGGTTGCGCCAACATTAGCCCCTGGTCAGACATTGCATGGTGTTATCCTCCACAGATTATACGCACAAAAGCCAGTGTATGTACGACCTAGTGTCCAGCTGCTTAACATGGGAAATGCAACAAAGGTTCGAGAATTAGATTGCTACATGCCCATCATGTAAATAGTGTGCTTTTAAAAACTGATATGTTGTTCATTTACAGGAACCAGGCAGCAATTCTAGTGGTAAAATACATACATTGGGTAAAAGCAAGGGATCTTTCCACATTTGTCATAAGAGGGGATCAAGTGACTGTACACTAAAATAATGTAAAAGTATTTTTTTAAATTCAAACAAACTTTTTTTACAATTGTTTTTTTGTGACAGTAATATGTCGAGGTATATCATTTTATATTTATAAGGGCGAATAGATGATGCTCATTGAACGGATCTAACAGGTTTTCGTTTTCCATGAATTTAAAGACACCAACGTATGGAGCAGAAAGAACCCGGTTTACTTCTGCCCACAACCGTTCTATCCTTTGGTTATGCACACTTCGCCCGGCAATGAAACTACCTCTATTCTCACCACGACGTGATATCATTAGCCGTGCTACGTCAACGTTTTCGACACCTCGATCTCCACGAACCCTCGAAGGCAAACCGAATTCATCAATCCCTTTTTTGAAAAGATCAACTACTGTCTGAGCTCTATTATCAGCGCAGCACTCTAGGTAAATGACTGCCGACTAAACCCGTCGATGCAACCATGGATAACGAATCGCCAGGATATAAGCTTATGGTTTGAGTCAATATGCCAAAGAAAATTCGGCCCGGGAACGTTATAAACCCTCTACAAATCGCATACCTCCTTCGCATATTTCTTCCAATAGTATCGATTCTCCGAAGACTTTCTCTGAACCTTTCTCTTTGGACATAGATCTTTCTAGCCCTTAAACTACCCCTGATATAACATTCTCCACTATATGGGGTAAGCCTTAAAATATCTCTTATCTGCCCATCTAAACTATCATCGGTGATGTCTGTAAAGCTAGCCTCAACTCCATATTCAATCCTTCTCCGGTAAATTGTTTGTTCTGATACACCTAGGAAGCTAGCTATACTTTTCCATTTCATTCCGGTATCTCGTAATTGCTCTATCTGTACTTTGGTTATATTAAAACAAGGCCTCCCTCCCTCACGACTCGTTTCAGCATTTGGCAAATTTAAAGCGGTCGTATGTCGTCCAAATATAGTTCTCACTTCTGACCTTACAGAACTGTCCACGTCAGGTGATATTCCTTCAGACAGCTCTGTAACTCTGCCAAGAAGCTCCTGAATAATTTCTCTATTGCTCATTTCTGTCATTTTGGTGAGAGCGATACAGTATAGATAGAAAATACAAAGTTACCAACCCGCCGAAATTTTGCATATAATTAATAACTGCTTTTGAAACAAACACGTGTTCTTTAACTCAATACATCATGTTGTTAGAGGAAAACTCGCGATATAAATCTCGTCATATGAAACTCGTCATATAAAACTCGTCTTATAAATCTCGTCATATGAAACTCGTCATATAAAACTCGTCATATGAAACTCGTCATATAAAACTCGTCTTATAAATCTCGTCATATGAAACTCGTCATATAAAACTCGTCTTATAAATCTCGTCACAGTTTATAAAACAACTCGTCATCTAAATCTCGTCATACACAACTCAACAATAATAATATAGTTTTCACACCGCATTATAGTAATTTCGAGTACCACTTTACGATTCTCGAATAGACTTATAGTAATTCTAATACGACTTATAAATCTCGATACACTTTTGGCAGGTTTGGCTTGCCATAGTTTTCGTCAATATAGACTATAGTGTGGCCCAGGCTTTACTCTATACGCATGAAGTAAAATCACTGATCTGATAATAGACTGGATATAGCTTCTACAAGTATCAAAAGTGAAGCCTAATTATACATGCAAAATTCACTTCCGGGTACCTCGGCGAGATACAAATTACTATAGAAATGTATGGCGGATAACGTTTACAAACATGGATTTTCGAATATTTAAGACCTTTCGCGACTCCTTACTAACCTCAAGTATGAGTCATGGATAAAACAGGTTATGCGAATCGATTTGACATCAAAATGATTCCTTTTGCTGTAAAATATCGACGTTAGTGTTAATTTGAAAGTTGTACATGCGAGAATGTATTTTGTCCCATCGTTGCCAATGCAAGATAGTTCACTGCTCGCTTTCCAATTTCTGAGGCATTTATGATCTAGTATACGTTTCAGTTCTTTAGAAATGAGATGAGTTACTTTTTTTATCATTCTTTCCTTATGTTGAGAGATTGTTGACATTTTATTTTTTCTGTAACTTCAAGTACTACTGATGCTTAAACAAGACAAGTTTATTTAGTTTCTTTCGCACTTTATCTTTAGTTTCTATTTCTGTAGTTGTTTTTCTCAAATGGTATACTCGCACCTTGCTGTAACATTTAGATATGGTCTTCATGAGAAAATATGATTTTCGTGAACAGTAGTATTCAACATGTGTGCGTCGAGATCCTTGAATGTTGTCCTCAAATCTATACCATTTAATACAGACACAGCAATACCATCTGGAATTCCTTTCCCTTGCGGTAAAATTCAATTTGTAGCTGCCAAACATTCTCTGAAAGCACCTCTCTGTTTCATTGCATATTACTATGACACTTGCTGTTGGGTTAAACAAATTACCCCTGTCTTTTAAAGTCAAGAAGCAGACTCATTTTTATGGTTTCTTGAACCGACTGCTTCATGACAAACAGGACAGTTTATTTTCTTTTGCACCATCTGGGCAATATAGCCAGCCATGTACGATATTACTGCCTTTTTACAGTCAGTAAATTTCATTTTCCTCTTCTAAGTGCTAAGCAAATTCCAGAAGATCATAGTTAGTATGAATGTAATATTAATGCCTTAAATATTTTTCCAAAAAGATTAAAATTATTCTTAAGATATGAATGTAGTTAGGGATGGTATAAATATGAATTGCAGTTGACATTAGAATCCTTTTCAGCAATAGTTTGATCATCAGTCTCTAGTCTTGTAGTAATAAGAAAGACAAGAGCTTTATTCCACTTGTGAAATGTGACTTTAATAATCGAACAGTTAAACAATTTACAGCTGTAGACAATAAACTGTTGCCGAGAAGCAGTATTCATGGCTGTAAAGGAATTAGCACAAGACAATGTGAAACTGATATACTGCATACAATTGGATACACTTATAATTATAAACTGTGGACACAGTCTTATGTTGCTGTTAATAATTTAAATCTGCTTAAGGGACAAACCAAAACCAAGATGATTATAAAGATTAAACAATGCACCCAGCTTTTGCACTCTTAAAGGGCCTGCAAATTCATACCTGGCTGGCTACATTACCTTGATGTTTCAAAAGCAGTTTACTAAAGTGTCCTAATGTGTGTAGAACGCATTTGTTAGATTTTAATGTCAATGAAAATCATACTTCTTTAAATAATTAAGCGCAAAGTGCGACTATACCATTTGAGAAAAACAACTACAGAAATAGAAACTAAAGATAAAGTGCGAAAGAAACTAAATAGACTTGTCTTGTTTAAGCATCAGTAGTACTTTGGTCATGAAAAAGTGAAGTTACAGCAAAAATAAAATGTCAACAATCTCTCAACATAAAGAAAGAATGATAAAAAAAGTAACTCACCTCATTTCTAAAGAACTGAAACGTATACTAGATCATAAATGCCTCAGAAATTGGAAAGCGAGCAGTGAACTATCTTGCATTGGCAACGATGGGACAAAATACATTCTCGCATGTACAACTTTTAAATCAACACTAACGTCGATATTTTACAGCTATAGGAATCATTTTGATGTCAAATCGATTCGCATAACCTGTTTTATCCATGACTAATACTTGAGGTTAGTAAGGAGTCGCGAAAGGTCTTAAATATTCGAAAATCCATGTTTGTAAACGTTATCCGCCATACATTTTATAGTATCTGTGGTACGGAAGTGAATTTTGCATATATATTTAGGCTTCACTTTAGCTACCTGTAGAAGCTATATCCAGTCTATTATCAGATCAGTGAGTAAAATCAAATGCCTTCGATGAAGTAAATAATGAATTAAGTTTGATTCACACCCCCCATTTTCTCAATTTCAAATTGCAATTTGCAGATGTGGCGCAGCGAATTTTTAAGACGATCGTCAAAAAATCGTCTAGTGGTGATCCGCCTTAAATTAGAAAACAATTGACCACTTGTTCTTTTACTTATAATCTTCTATTACATATGATAACATATTACATTCCAGCCAACAATAATGTTAAAAACAAATTCCAACACAGTTTTAAAAGATATTTTCTTTATAGTTCTTCTCGATATACTCGCGAAAGCAAACATTGCTGCATAGTTCATTTTTTGTGCATTTCATTGGCTATGATCAATTCAATGACCCGCCCATCTTTAAAGGTACAAGGTCTAACATGCTGTCGGAGCATAACATTTTGCTTGTAAAAATTATTTAAAAGGACTGTGCATCTTTCAAAGGATTTCATTGATCGCTCGTTAACGTTGGCATTGCATCGAAGCCAGGATTCGAATTTTGTTTAAAAGTAGAGTAACACTTCATTTAAGGTAAGAAACTTGATTGAAATCAGCTCATTCGCGCTGTGCATTTTAATACATAATTTCTATTTACGTAAATTTCAAACCGTTTATAATATTTGCCAAACTTGTAAAATTGACGAAAGTGTCACACAACAAATGCTTTTCTACCTTATATCAAGTTGATTTCAGCTGGAGTTCAAACTTTTAGGACGATTTTAGTGTATATATTGTAGTACTGAAAATTGCGTCATCTAATCTTATTATGCGCACGATTTGCCCACTTTATTTTTCAATTATGACTTTTTATTGCCGGTAAATGATTAAATAAATCCTGAGCTCAAAGTGATAATTCATGAAAATTTCAAAAATGTGTGAGGAAATATTGTTTAACAAGTTTATTAATGCAATTGACATCGCAAACTAAAATGGGAAATTTAGGGGAATTTTCGTAGTACCTTTAAAAATGCTATTTGCTTTTGTAGATAGGATGTTGTTAACAGTTGTTTTGGTTATTGAGTCACATTTCAGTTACAAATGGCGCGGTTTCTTCAATTTTCCTATTCTGAAATTTTCCCCTAAAAGAGGACTCAAGATAGAAAAACATACCTTGAAATTTTATTTGGAGATACCAATAACCATGGGTCAACTTTAATTTTCATCTTTAATTGCTCATTTCATATTGTATTTGCCTCTGTAAATGACATGGAACAGACTCTGAGACCTTATATATTTCTGTAGAAATGAAGAAATATGTTGATGATGTAACATGCAAAACAACAATGACTGGTAAAAATTTTTATTTGTGTCAAGCAAACACACCAACATCACTTGAAGAGGTTTGCCACTCACACACAGCTGACTCAATTAATCCATTTGATTCTGTACTGAATCACTTGATTCTACATGGTCAACCTGATTTGAAACTGCCTTCAACAGATTTCTACTCATCAAACTTGAACTCAAGCATTCCACCTGAATATGAGTGGGAAAATTCTTGCCCATATGACTTGGACAATGATGATGATAAAGGAAGTAATATGGACAGTCATCACTCTATCCAGCCGACAGCACATACTATATGGAAAGATGGAGAAGAGTATGGAAAGAAAGAGTTTGACCAAGTTAGTGGGTTCCATTTTAGAACTGCTACTCAAGACAATGATGAACATATTGATATAGACAAAAATTCACTTACTCCTGTGTCATCCAATGAACTTCAAAGTTGTGATTCATTTATACCAACTCATCAATATGACTTTCAGTTGTCCAGAACATTAGACACTGAAGCATTCAATACATGTCCAAGTGACTTGGACCAAATTGATGACAAAGACACTGTCAGCACAATTCCTTATCTTCTGCAATCTCCAAGTAAAAAAGAGCCTGAAAACATACAAGAGAGGGATGATCCATCAAATTCTAAGTCATCAAATACATGCAAATCCAAGTCACTTTTTCCTTCTGTTTCTGAATTGAATCTATCAGAATCCAACTCATATAATCACTTTCATTCACCAAATCAATCAGATACTATGTCTTTTAATCTTTCACATAATTCACATTTGGATGCAAACAACCAATCAGTTTCATATTCACTCCAAACTTTGGATTCAGAGTTGTGTAATATTGAGGTTCCCAAGTCACTTGATCTAATGGATTCTGAGGAATCAGATTCAACTGTTTCAGAGTCTGTGGATCAATCCAAATTCAAAACACTAAATCAGTCTCATGCCAGGTCACCTTGCCTTTCTTATTTTGAGTTACCTCATTCACTTGATTCCAATTCAATTAATCTCTCCAATTCAGAATTCTTTCAATCACTAGATTTGTTAGTATCTGAACCATTTGAATCAGATTCACCTGATATATTTGATTCTAGTTTACCAATTCCACCTGGTTCTGATTCACTATACTCATCTGATACTAATTCACATGATTCATCGGAATCTAATCCTACTGTTTCATTCAATCCTAATTCATTTGATCTATCTTATCCATATTTAGCAGATTCATTTAATTCTCACTCAACTATTTTGTCCAATTCAAATGATTTTTCAAATTCTGGCGAAAGTTCTCATCCAAATTCATTTCAATCCAACTCATCTCAATCAAATTCACCTGATTCTAATTCACCAAATCCTCGTGACTCTGATTCAAATGTTCCATGGAAGTCTGACTCTACTATTTTACCTGCTTCTGATTTACCATATTCATCTTATCCCAATTCCCCTGATTTGTTGAATTCAGACTCATTAGATTTGGACTCAAGAAGCTTGCCATGTCTATCTCATTCAAATTCACCTGTATCAGGCTCACCATATTCACCAGTTTCACCCGAGCCACCAGATCCACCAGATGCATTACATTCTCATTCTTTACATTTATCAGAATTAGATTCAAATTCATCTGAATCAGATTTATCATATCCATCTGATTCTGATTCTTTAGATCCATCGCTTTCTAACTCAAATGATTCGTCTGATTCTGTGAACAGTTTTGATTCAAGTTCACCTGAATCAGATGCACAAGATGTGCCTGAAGCATCTGGTTCTGATTCATCAGATTTTTCCGATTCAGATTCGTTGGAATCTGATACAACAAATTTATTAGATCAATTAGATTCTGATTCATCAGTGTTGCATTCAACAGATTGGCCATGCTCATGTGATACTGATTTAGATCCACCAGAATTGGGGTCAAATTCATTTGAATCAGATTCAAATTCATTTGAATCAGATTCAGCATATTCACCTGATCAATCTCATTCTGATTTACCAAATCCATCACATTTTGATTTATCAGCTCTATCTTATGATTCATATTTAAAAGTAGCTTTCCTAATCCACAAGATTCTGATCCGATGGACTCGAATTCAAGTGATTTCAATACAGCTCTTCATTCTCATCCATCTACATTACATGTTAATCCATCCACATGATTTGGGATTACTTCATCTACCAGATTCTGATTTTGCAACTTTATATTCCAAAAATGACCACAATGACAATGATGAACATCCACAGTATTTGCAGGTAAAAAGTGGAAATGATGCAGAACCAAATGCAAGGGTAAATGATTGCATTGAGCTTGAGGGAGACGATGTTGATCAAGGTATTGAAATCAATTCACTTTTGTCTATTAAAGAAATTGCAGAGCAGGATGATATTGATAGAAGTGTTGGGATAAACCCACTCCTTCCTATCAAAGAAAGTGAGGAAGAGCATGATTTTGAACAAGGTGTTGCCATAAACCCACTCCTCCCAATCCAGGAAAGTGAGGAACAGCATGATTTTGAACAAGATTTTACCATAAACCCACTCCTCCCAATCCAGGAAAGTGAGGAACAGCATGATTTTGAACAAGATGGTGCCATAAACCCACTCCTCCCAATCCAAGAAAGTGAGGAGCAGCATGATTTTGAACAAGATGTTGCCATAAACTCACTTCTCCCAATCCAGGAAAGTGAGGAACTGTAAAATTATTACATTGATATGACGAAAAATGATTTGGAAAAGGATTGTATATGGTGGTGAAATTTTTGACGCATATACTTCAATGATTCGTACAAACGTTTGTAGACTAAACATTCGTTGTCATTTGTGCCTGATTATATAACGCTCATTCAACAAAGTACTTGCATGATTGATTCTGATGTATTCTTCAAGTTTTATAATATTACAATAATAACTAATCGTTCATTGCATGAATTATGATAATTAAATATTATAATAATTTTTTCAAAAACTTATGTTATGACCTTAAATCTTATGTTTATTGATGCTTTATATGACTAATTGTGCTTATATCAATGTTTTAAGAAAATGCAATCTACAATATGATGGTTTCTTTATCTTTTTCGCGTAGGTATTTTTACATGCGTATGTAAAATCATTTGTCAGCCCCAGGAAGCTAACCCAAACTTATCTAATTCATGTATAAAATGATGCATATGTAATAATGACCACACAAATATTGTAAAGCTCGACTAATCTCCGGCTGCCATTCCCGCTTTGTAAAGCGTAAGAAAATCAACAAAAATTATAATAAAATACTTATATTTAGAAAAAATGCGCATAGCTTGAGTAAGAACGTTTCTCGCACGATTTAATATTAAAACTCGTGACAATTGGAGTTTTATCTCACATTCTTTTATTTTTGATGCATCGGTTGAAGTAAAGTTCAACGTTTGAAACTGACCTAACAACGCACTCCAGCCACTCCTTTCCTTCATGAAGAAAGCTTGTTCAAGTGGAGAGAGAAGAGACAGGGTGTTAAATAGCACAAGAGTATATAATATTTGAAAGGACGCTGAATTTTACCCAATTCAATACTTGAAAATAGAAGAAGTGATGGTATGCGCCCCTCCCCCCGACCCTCCAGCTCCACCGCGGTATCTTAGATACAGACCAATAAACCGCTTGTTCACATCTTAAAATACATAATTTGTGAAAACGTTTCACTTTCTGCTGCTTTAAACTTGTTACATTTAGACTTTTGAAATTTTACCATAATTTATCAAAAGGTCATGGAACTTTTCAAGAACTCTTAATAAAAATAATTTTTATTCTACAACTTATTCGTTACTAACATAGTTTCTAGACCGTTTGGTTTGATTACTTCGTAAAAAGTGGCCACCATTTTTTCTTCATAAAATTTGGTCAGTCAAGAGAAGAATGTTGTTTTACGTACTTTCATTTGGGTCTAAAGAAGTAAACTTTTCTCAAGAACCAAGACCACAAGACATGCTTTTACAAGATTCAAAAAAAACATTTGCGCTTTAGCGTGCTGTCAAGTGAGAATTATGAGATACCAAGGCCTGCTTCATACGTCGCATTTTACATGCACCGAATGCATTAGAGGCAAAAGAAAATGAGATAAAATTCCTCGTTATCTTTTAAATGTGTTTGGCTCATGTAAAATGCAACGTATGAAACAGGCCCAAGTCTTGTCTACAGTTTTAATTTTAAGCTTCGAACTTACTTCACACACCAATTTAGCAAATTACTTTCGAGCGACTTAAAATTATAGCATTCAAATCAAAATTCAAAAATATTGTTTTTGGCTTCCAAAGCCGAAACACATGGCACATGCTGTACACGACGACGTAAAAACTTTGCAAGACGTTTATAAAATGGATGAATAAATCGATAAACCTTTACTAAATGTTTCAATAGGAACACCTGGATCTACTGTTTAAACACAGGACAGTAAGACTTCACGAAAAACAAAGCCATAAACTACATCAAGTCTCAAAACCCCAAACAAACATCCATTATTGCGATTAATATTGAACAACATCACTATATTCAGTATATTGCTAACCGCGAACGAAATTTCTGTTGCTTTTTTTACAAGCGGAAATACATTATAATTCTTTTCACATGTGAATATCACTAAATTTGCTTTCAAAATACATCCAAAGCGCGTAAGATGTGATTCATACACAAAACAACTTGAAATGGTTCGGCTATGAGCTATGCTCGTATAATTCAACGCTATTACGCAAGTTTGGTTTTCCAAACAACACATCGTATTGGTACATGTTTGCAGAGTCAAGATGACTACTGCTAAGGGTCGAAATGTCAGTCAACAACAACAAAACAGTCCTTCACAGGACTATACCATCCTGACGACCTACATTTACAAACATGTAACGATTCTCCCGAGTTGAAACCATTTACTTTACATCGTATCGAAATGCTAAAATATTTTCGCTACATAAGATATTCAAAAGAATATATTTTAGAGAAAGTTCATGAATCATCCAAACCTGTAGAAGAAGTCAAAGGTACACGAAAATCTGCCTGGGTTTGCCTTCGATGATTGCTTGTTAGTGGTTCGTCCATATTTCAAAGCAGTCAAATATTTTGGTGAAATGCGTCGTCAGATCTTAATGTAACTCACGACAATGACATAACGATAGAATGTTAGAAGAAAATAATAGAACAGCAAGTTCTTTGTGTTAGAAAAAACTATATTCTAGTACAAAGTCTAAAGCTACTGGGCCATTGGCAAAGCCAAAGCGAGGAGAAAAAAAAATAAAGCCCCTGAGGCCGACGCTATATTGACATATTTTACCACACATTAATCGCCCCCACGCATGTCATTGATGATGTCACGTGTCATTTTACTATAACATCCCCTCAGACCCTCACGAAGGTTTACAATGCTCTACGAAGTTATGATACATGATATTTTTCTTTCCAATGGAAATTTTTAGTTCAAGAAATATATGCTCTAGATGATTAGATGAGCAAATGATCTGAGGAGGCAAAATCATGAGAAAACTTTGAAACTCAGATCTCTAGACGGCTGAAAATAGTCATTTTATAGATTAAAGTCGTTATATTACTTGCTCTACGGAAATAGCAACATCTTAGAAAATATTTTTTTCAAAACATTTTTTCCAAGAATTAATAGCCCAAAGGACCTAGGTGTTGATTACATAAGAAAGTTATCAAGGCTAGGAGAAGCAGAATGTGATTAATATATACAATGAATCCCACATCTACTGTGCTTAGAAACAAAAAGAGAGACAAAAAATTTCGTTGAATATAACCAATTTAAACATTGTCCATTGACCAATATGTTAAGCATACTTACGAATAAAGTTATTGTACAGTTACAATGATTGATTATTCCCAATGGTTATTGAATTTGTTACTTTTTGAATATTTAATGAACTTCTCGGCTAACCTCGACAATTCCAATAACTTATTGACAACAAAAAACTTATTTGGTTACAACAGATAGGGTGCCTCTCCTTATTTGAATAGAAATTATTGGATACAAAAAATATCAAGTTCTTTTTCCCCATAATATCTCTAACCTGTATGTACTTTCCTATTAATGACATTGGCATTACATTGGACGTGACAATATTTGAACCTTAATTAACTTACTAGATTAAGTCTACATTTTACTAAGGACTAATGATAAAAACTTTCTATTTATGTTCTAATTTACTCTGTCTATTTCATAACAGGGGCGTAGCAAACTCGTTGATGAGGAAGGGGGAAGGGTTCAAATTTATGAATGTACGTCTTAATCTATAGAAAACAATGGATTTCAAAAAGAATTTAATTCTGCAGAACATGAATGTATGAATACGTTCTCCCCCAATTATTGAGTTTGCTAAAGAATTGCATATGGATGTAATATTTATGATCATTGTAACAATTTCAATGGTTGTATAAAGATAAATTGTATTTCGACATGCCATAACAAATTACAGTCATCAAAGTTCTGGAGGAACCGACATAAACTCAAGATGACAGCCCATATTCTGCCTGCTGTCCTCAAAGAGGTTGCTGACTTCAAGGTCTATTAATTCAAGTCCATTTAGTTCATCTTGATTTGTTTCCTGGAGTGAATTGGAATCATCGACTTGATTGGATTCCTCTGTCAGAAATTACAGAAATTAGAAAAAGGTTTTTTATTTGTTTGAAAATGTAGTCAAGAACGGTATGTCGTGAGAGACAGCCAAACTATTGGCTCGTGAAAGTCATTGTGGAATACATCGTAAACAAGCTTAAAGAAAAATGACAGAATCAAGCACAACCAGATTTGTCAAATGGATCACTTTAGGGCAGGACATGAGAACTGTGAGTAGGGCTGTCCCTAGAAAGTTATTGGGAGGGGAGGGGGGGAGCTTATTCACATATTTAATTGCGCTCAATTGATTTCTTTTGAAAACAATTTACTGAAAGTGCCAATGCAACGGAAATTTTGCAAATTAAATTATGTTTGCAATGCCTAGAACCTTTGAAACTACAGTGAACTTTCTAAAACAGTAAATGCATATTCTCGTCATTTTGACGTTTTTGTTATTTCCAATTTATTTAACTTGTGACGTCATAATGCATAATGAGTTCCCACAATGTTTCAAATACTCTTCAGTTTCCTGACAACTTCAGGTTGATACCAGTAGGCAACATTTTATACAATTAACCCCGTCACAATGAAATGAAATCTGTCGTTGTGAAGTAAAGTAACAGTAAATATACCTAATAATTTTAGTTCTCATTACGCAATGTGAGATCACAAGTTAGATATATCGGACATAACAAGAACTTCAATATCTCAAGAATTAAAAGTGATGTGCATAAACTGGTATAGAATGTCCATTGTCATTTTAAAATATCTCTTCAATAAAAGTATTACTCAGATCGCAAAATTTTCGTTTCATAGGCACTTTAAGAAATCAAACAACTCACTTTCAAAAAAAATCAGTCAGGCACAATTGAATACCGTAAATGCTCGAATAAGCGCCCGGGGCGCTTATTTAATTTTGAGGCGAGGCTAATTCGAAGGGGGCGCTTATTGGAAGGGGCGCTTATTTCATTTTCGGATTTTGACGAAAATGACACTGGTATTTTTATTTTTGACCTTAACTGTACATAAGTATGAAAATTTTAGCAAACCCGTCTTTCTCGAGGGGGGGCGCTTACTGGAAGGGGCATATTTCAAAATTTGAGTCCTAGGGGCGCTAATTCGAAGCGGGCGCTTATTGGAAGCTGGGCGCTATTCGAGCATTTACGGATATGAATAACACACCTCCCCACCAATCAACGTTTACCAGGTGGCCGTGACTGTGGGAGGATGTACGTGGGTAAAAAAATAGTTAGTGACGAAAAAACTTTGCTAAATTGATCCCGCGCAATATTTGCAAAACTTTTAAGTGGAAATAGGCAGTTGGACTTCCAATGGTTCATCTGATAGTTAAGAAAAATTGTTTCAAATAATAATCTTTTTAGAGGGAGGATGTGTTACAGAGAAGTGCTTTTAAAGTAGCTCACGCACAAAAATGACAAAGCAAAAAGCAGTTGAAACACATAGGATTAAAAGATGTCACACTTTTTTCAAGCAAATGAAGTTTCAGGGAATTTGGCAAAAGCGTACACGAACAGTTAGCTTCTAAATCACAGATTATTTTGTTTTCGTTTTTGAATACCTTTTTATAGCTCTCTTCAAGTATGTATAAACTTAAGTTTCTAAAAAACCTGAATCATTATAAACAGAAAAATTATTGATGATTTATGTAAAATGTTATATAAACGGAAAAACACAAATTAATCTAAGATTCGGAAGATGAACGTTTGCTTAAGAATCGTCCAAATTTCCTGAAACTTTATTAGTTTGAACAACATATGCCATATTTTAATCTTATGCGTTCCAATTGCAATCTATTGGTGTCATTTTTGGCGCAATCTATTTTAAAATTGTTTCTAGGTTACAATTTTTACTCCAACAACGACTATGATTTACGAAAATTTAACTGTAATAACGTAAATGGTTTGAGCCCGGGCGTATCGTTACATGTTTCTAGATGTAGATCGTCATGGTTAATACACTCTAGATGTAGATCGTTACATGTTTCTAGATGTAGATCGTCATGTTAATTACACTCTGCTATGTCACCCTAATTTACACGAATGCAGCAAAACCACAACATCAATAACTGTAATAACGTAAATGGTTTGAACCCAGGCGTATCGGTACATGTTTCTAGATGTAGATCGTCACGTTTAGTAGAGTCCTGAGAAAGTCAACTTGACTTTAAAGGTGACGACTGCTATAAGTCAAACGTCAGTCAACATCACAATAATAACGTGTTGGTTTGAAACCAGGCGTATCGGTACATGTTTCTAGATGATCGTCACGTTTAGAGTCCTGAGAAAGTAACTTGACTTAAAGGTGACTACGCTAAGGAAGTCAAAACGTCAGGCCACGTCAGTCAACATCACAACTGTAATAACGTGTAAATGGTTTGAAACCTGGGCGTATCGTTACATGTTTCAAGATGTAGATCGCCACAGCAGAGTCCTGAGAAATTTAACTTGATTTTAAGGTGACTACTGCTACGGAAGTCAAAACGTCAGTCAACATCAATAACTGTAATAACGTAAATGGTTTGAACCTGGGCGTATCGTTACATGTTTCAAGATGTAGATCGTCATTGTTAGTAGAGTCCTGAGAAATTTAACTTGATATTAAGATCACTACTGCTAAGGAAGTCAAAACGTCAGTCAACATCAATAACTGTAATAACGTAAATGGTTTGAATCCGGACTTATCGTTACAATGTTTCTAGATGTAGATCGTTATGGTAAGTAGAGTCCTGAGAAATTCAACTTGACAATAAAGGTGACGACTGCTAAGCAAGTCCAAACGTCAGGGAACATCAATACCTGTAATAACGTAAATAGTTTGAACCCGGACGTATCGTTACATGTTTCTAGATGTAGATCGTCATGGTTAATACACTCCTGAGAAAGTCAACTTGACTTTAAAGATGACGACTGCTAAGGAAGTCAAAACGTCAGTCAACATCGATAACTGTAATAACGTAAATGGTTTGAACCCAGAGGTATCGTTACATGTTTCTAGATGTAGATCGTCGTTGTTAGTAGAGTCCTGAGAAAGTCAACTTGAATTTAAAGGTGACGACTGCTAAGGAAGTCAAAACGTCAGTCAACACCAACAAACTGTAATTAACGTAAAATGGTTGAAACCGGACGTATCGTTACATGTTTCTAGATGTAGATCGCCATTGTTAGTAGAGTCCTGAGAAAGTCAACTTGACTTTAAAGGTCACTACTGCTAAGGAAGTCAAAGCGTCAGTCAACATACATAACTGTAATAACGTAAATGGTTTGAACCTGGGCGTATCGTTACATGTTTCTAGATGTAGATCGTCATGCTTAGTAGAGTCCTGAGAAAGTCAACTTGATTTTAAGGGGACGACTTCTAAGGAAGTCAAAACATCAGTCAACATCAACAACTGTAACAACGGAAATAGTTTGAACCCGGACGTATCGTTACATGTTTCTAGATGTAGATCGTAATGTTTAGTAGAGTCCTAAGAAAGTCATCTTGAATTTAAAGGTGACGACTGCAAAGGAAGTCAAAACGTCAGTCAACATCAATAAATGTAATAACGTAAATGGTTTGAACCTGGGCGTATCGTTACATGTTTCTAGATGTAGATCGTCATGCTTAGTAGAGTCCTGAGAAATTCAACTTGACAATAAAGGTGACGACTGCTAAGGAAGTCCAAACGTCAGGGAACATCAATAACTGTAATAACGTAAATAGGTTGAACCCGGACGTATTGTTACATGTTTCTAGATGTAGATCATTATGGTAAGTAGAGTCCTAAGAAAGTTAACTTGACTTTAAAGTTGACTACTGCTAAGGAAGTCAAAACGTCAGTCAACATCAATAACTGTAATAACGTAAATGGTTTGAATCCGGACGTATCGTTACATGTTTCTAGATGTAGATCGTTATGGTAAGTAGAGTCCTCAGAAATTCAACTTGACTTTAAAGGTGACGACTGCTAAGGAAGTCAAAACGTCAATCAACAACAACAAAAAAGTCCTTTTTATGACTCTATAAACCTGGACGATCTACATCTACAAACATGTACAAATTTGACATTAGTTAAATCATTGGAAGTCAAACTACTTATTTCCACCAAAGATTTTTGCGAATCTTGTACGCTGATCGATTTAGCAACGTTCTCTCAACTGTGTTGTTTTTTCAATTTTCCCCAATACTTTGGGGTAACCATTACCTCCGTAGGATTTCTAGCACTTCAACAGGACAGCATATTGATATTTACTGTCTCGATTCAGAGACAAATCGTTCGTTCGTAGGGCCGTACTGCCACTGTAGGATTCCAATGGAATATGAATTTCAACAATCGCTTGCAACTAAAAAATACGTCAAACATGTCAAATACATCGTAAATATGAGTGGACAACAATTAATAAGAATTTATAAAATTTCAATGTTGCCAGTGAGGTACCAGGGGTGAATCAAATTCTAAAAATAAAGATAAGATCATAAAAGATCGTGTTTGAGAAAGCCATCAGCATTTGATTTTTTCAGTATTTATTTAAAAAAATAAGCGACGTTTCGTCTTGACTCAAGACATCTCAGACAAATTACATAGACTTACTACGATGCTGAAAAGTTTCTGTTTACTTTTTTTAATTTGCTGTGTGCCCTTTTACTGGAAACACCTATCTATAACTCCCTTTTTCCTCTACAGATCTTAAAAACTCTGAAATTGGTCTTTGGAAAAGTTGGGAGGGAGGGAAGGGGGGGAGAATGCACGTCCCCTTCAGCTCTTTTCAGCTCTGTTCATGGTAAACTTCCCCCCATTACTCACCCCCTTTATATCTTGTACAATCTTTCTTACATTTCCTTACAATACTCAATATCAGCTTTACATTGTAAGTACACATCCACACAAACCTCACACCTTAACTATCTAAGTAATTACATCTCATTTGAAGATGTCTTGAAGTCGAGACGAAACGACAAACGTCACTTGCTTTGTTTTAATAAATATCAAAGAAATCGAACGCTTATGGTTATCTTTGAAACGATCTGTTGGACTCTAATCTTTAGGTTGATAATTCAATAAAATTTCTTTAATATTTCAAACATGTTACCTTGTTCAGTACATAAAACACTGTCTACTTCTTGTTGATCAACGTTATCAACGTCGTCGTCGGCGCTCATGATTCACTGTATAAAGAAAAAAACGTCAAACTAGATTAATTGGTCAATTTTGACTTCAAAATATCATTTAATTTCAATAAACATCGACTACAAATCATCTGGAGTTGCAACTACGTAATAAGTACCGTGCTTATAGCCATGCATTAAAGTCAATAACGAGCATAATTTCTGTTCAACGACAATGATCATGACGAAGTAAGAGATTGCGAACTATACAATATCACATGTGCAAATGCGTCATTATGTCGTAACAAAACCCCATCATTCTTTGCGGAAGCAGACGTGGTGCATAATAAAAGTTAAAGCCGTTAAGGAGAGTAGCATTTTGTCTTTTCACAAATAAATATGTTGACTGATGACTCTAAGTGATAAAATAAAATGCAGTCTACTGCTGTTGACACCTTAAGAATAAAATTGAATTTCAACCGATCAATTTTCACAAATTCTTTCGATTTTTGAAATAGAATTTGCCAACAACCATCATGCATAGCGCGCGTTTGTTCATTTCACATCAAAACAATTGTAGAATCACATATATCAACTATTGTTACTTAAAAAACGAATATCAAAAATTCATCAAACATTGCAGTGATTAGTACAACGAAACATGTAACAATAAATTCAAATTTGGGAAGTGTTATGTCCCAACATTTCTAGGAGCGAATGTTTATTAAATGATTTTTATCTTCTGTCGAAGACTCGAAGATATTTCGATCTTGTGGAAGCTGCTTTTAGTTAACTTCTTAGCAGTAACTAACGGTGATTTACATTGACTAGTCTTTGGGATCGCATGTAATTTTGCATTGCTTACAATCATTCACACTATTTATCAAACTTTTAGCAACATATAGATAGCGAATGTTTACGGAAATAATCTTAACAATTTGTGACAAACTGGAATTCGAATTCAGGAGTTCGTTCCCATGTACTTTACTTATGTAACTGAAATTCGAACAACAAATACTTAATACATGATATTTACCTTTTGATGAAAATGCTTTGCACAATTTTATCGAAATTTTCGTAAGGCGTCTTCTTCAATGAATACGATGACTAAAAAATGAAAGTATTGACCTCAGGAAGAATGTCATATGATCTCTGCGTGACTAGAAATACTATATGATTAAATATCATGTGTATAAACTCACGCTAGTTAACATAATTTCTTTCAATAATTGACGAAAATTGGTCAATTTGATAAAAGAATTTTTGTTTTCACAAGAATTATTCCACAATATACAGCATAAGACTTCGGTAGAGAAATTTTTTATCTCACTGTAAATGCTACACGCAAGAAAATACTGGATATTAAAAGTGCTAATAGTCATAATTTCTAATTAGCAGCAATTTTAAAAAACACTTGAGAAAAACGACGATTTTTTTGAGAGCAAACATGTTTCGACATTATCAGAATGCCATCTTCAGTGCAGAATGGTTAGTGTTAAGTAATATGATACATGATATGATATGAATAAATTAATTACAATGAATAGGATTATGATTCAGTTACTAATATAAAATATTTAAAAAAGGAAAAGAAAAATAGTATTAAGAACTTATAACAAAAATATTATTAAAAGTAAATATAAATTGTAGTGGTGAACTTGATATTTAAATCGGGATTAGTTTTATTAATGTGTAGAGCTTCCTGATTTTGAGTGAGAAAGTGGATTTATCAGTGTCGATGATTTAAAACAGAGCAGGAGAGAGCTTTTTATGAAGGTTGAAGATGTTGTAGATAGTGAGTTTTGACTCCACTATCTACAAACATCTTCAAGCCTCCTTCATGTAAAACAAATTTCACCTTCTCACCAAAAACTCCACTATCTACAAACATCTTTCAAGCTTCCTCCTTCATGTAAAACAAATTCTCACCTTCCTGTTTTAAAATCATCGACACTGATAAATCCACTTCTCTCACTCAAAATCAAGGAAGCTCTACACATTAATAAAACTAATCCCGATTAAATATCCAAGTTCACCACTACAACACTATATTTACTTTATAATAATATTTTTGTTATAAGTTCTAATACTTATTTTTCTTTTCCTTTTTGTAAATATTTTATATTTAGTAACTGAATCATAATCCTATTCATTGTAATTAATTTATTCATATCATATCATGTATCATATTACTTAACACTAACCATTCTGCACTGAAGATGGCATTCTGATAATGTCGAAACATGTTTGCTCTCAAAAAAATCGTCGTTTTTCTCAAGTGTTTTTTTGCTAATAGTCAATTGGTAAAGAAGTGACGACAATAAAAGTGTAGATTTTAGGGGAGGTCTGGTAGTGCAGCCACCAAAGATATTAAAGAAAGTTGAAAAATTGCCCAGAAAAACTCAGTTCAATTGTACTACTGATTTGTTTTACTAAAACTTGAGGGAGTTAAAATGTTTCCGACAGGGGTGGGGAATTTATTTTTGGAATTTAAATCTTAAGCTTGCGTACCCCACCCTGTACCCCTCCTCAGTAAATCTGTCCGTGTTTTATAGTGGTTATGTCATTAATGGCAGGAGATATGGTAAAGCTGTAATGAAGAAAGTTCTTTTAAAATACTTTTGTTTTCTTGGATTACAGTAAATCACTTTACAAATATGGAATAAAGAACAATTTTTCGTTGAAAGAAAACTTACATCGTCGATAGGAAAACAATTCTTATACTAATTCTTCCTAAGTTAAAATGGGAATAATAGTATATATCAATATATGAGTGATTATTTTACTTTCATTGCAAATTCTTAATAGTTAAATTTTAACGTTGCCAACAATTAGCGACACTCTTTTTTAAGCAACATTTTCCAAAGATAAAAGTTCAACGTACACCATGTCATGAAGAAATTTATATTGCATACGAATGAACGTAAGTTGTAATCTAAACATGTTTTTGCTCAATAACCACATACCCTGAACTACATACGTTGTCTGTGAATTTTAGATAGGTGTGCTAAATATACAATGAAAAATATTAGCTACATGAACACTTTGCAAAGAACGTGAAATTAGCACGATAATTAATATCTCACTGTTGGTCATATATAAGTAGCTAAAGCTTGTACATAGTTACATAGTATCTCTTGTAATTGTTGGCAGTATTGAGCACATGCTCTGTTCTACAGAGAAAAAATCCCAGTCTGCTTTCAAGACATCTTTCAACGGGCTATGTTGATTTTGTAGAACTCATTTCTTTAGAAAATGTCAAACGTTCGCCACTTGTCAGTTTGTACATTATAAATTTCTTACAAATTTGTCATTTTTACATACCATCTTCAGAATATTCACTGTCTTTGCCATAAGATTCAGCAGTCTTTAGTTCATTTGTTTCATTTTAAAATTCTTAAGGAAAGAAATTTTGTCTTAAAGAGTTTCCAACAAGAGAAACATGTGCTAAAGCACAATATTTATACATGTGAAAGACAATAAAAATGTAATTTCTCAAGACAGTGATAATGTGACAAATATTGTATTCATTTGATTTACTAGTTAGAGCAATAATTAGCAATTGAGAATAATAATGTGTAGTTTTGACAAACCATAGAGGAAGATGTGGCACTGGAATTTTTTTCAGTCTTTCTTAAGTGAATTATCTTAAATGAATTTTTGTTATCACTTTGTGGGTGCTTGGTTTATTGTAATATAGTTGTATTATGTCAGGGACTTAGGAACTGAAACACTTTTCCTTACAACTGAACAATCTTGATGCATAACAATTTAAATATGAATGAATTATGTAAGAAAGTGACTTGTTTAAAAACATCTGTTTGGAGCATACATTTTTTCATACAGTGGTTATTTTTGGTAATTAAACAATGAAAAATATTAGCTACATGAAAACTTTGCAAAGAACGTGAAATTAGCACAATAATTAATATCTCACTATTGGTCATATATAAGTAGCTAACGGTTTAAGCTTGTACATAGCTACATAGTATCTCTTGTAATTGTTGGCAGTATTGAGCACATGCTCTGTTCTACAGAGAAAAAATCCTAGTATGCTTTCAAGACTTCTATCAACAGGCTATGTTGATTTTGTAGAACATATTTCTTTCAAAAATGTCAAACGTTCCCCACTCGTCAGTTTGTACATTATAAATTTCTTACAAATTTGTTATTTTTACATACCATCTTAAGAATACTCAATGTCTGCCATAAGATTCAGCAGTCTTTAGTTCATTTGTTTCATTTTAAAATTCTTAAGGAAAGAAATTTCGTCTTAAAGAGTTTCCAACAAGAGAAACATGTGCTAAAGCACAATATTTATACATGTGAAAGACAATAAAAATGTAATTTCTCAAGACAGTGATAATGTGACAAATATTGTATTCATTTGATTTACTAGTTAGAGCAATAATTAGCAATTGGGAATAATAATGTGTAGTTTTGACATACCATAGAGGAAGATGTGGCACTGGAATTTTTTTTGGCCAGTCTTTCTTAAGTGAATTATCTTAAATGAAATTTTTTTTATTACTTTGTGGGTGCTTGGTTTATTGTAATATAGTTGTTTTATGTCAAGGACTTAGGAACTGAAACATTTTTCCCTACAACTGAACAATCTTGATGTCTAACAATTTAAAAATGAATGAATTATGTAAGAAAGCGACTTGTTTGAAATCATCTGTTTGGAGCATACATTTTTTCATACAGTGGTTATTTTTGGCAATTGTGTGGTAATGTCCCAAAAATTCAAAATATAAATACTATTTAAGTGACCTTTACTGAACAGTCCACCTATATTAAGTAGACATGGTCACCTTTTAAAGATTCAAATTTGATTTTCATTGTTCAAAACTGTATTAAATGGTCGGGTGAATTAAAACCAACACATATAACAATTAGGCATTTAAAATAACGACAACTTTTTTATTATAAACATCAACTTACATTAAGTCAACTTCAGTAGACTGGAAAGTCGAAACATGTTTATAATAAAAAATTTTGTGATTTATTTTAAATCCATAATTAATCTGGTGCTTTTGAGATCATACATACATACATATAACAATTTATAAAACCAACACATACATTGTTTTGTGAAGAAGCAAAAAATGCCATGTTCCAACAGATATTTCAGAATGCAAGATTAGTAAGAGATGTTGTGTGACTGGTAACTTTATAATAAGCCTCAAATTATTTCAAAGTTTTGAAAAATATAATTGTATTGGGCATTAATTTGATTAAATCCAAACTGAGGTTGTTGCTTTTGTTTAAATATTTTGCTACCATTATATTCAAAGATGTGTTGTCTCATTTAACACATAAACGAATGCAGCATTGATAAATTAAAATTTAAAACAAAATGAATAAAAAAACAAATGTGTTGCCTTTTAGGTCCTTCTCAACTAAACCCCAATAACAATGACAACATTGTATAGCATAATTCATAAAATGTTCAAAATTACTATTTCATTTATGACCAAATATAAAATAAAATGCACTCGCCAGACAATTTTGTTCAAAATCTATATTATAAATCATTAAAAAACTTTACTTACCACTGTACGTTTTACAGACATTAATGACGATGTGTTTACGGAATCATGAAGCATGCGACGTTTGAAAATTGCATCGCTCGCGAGCACATTCTGACGATTTCTTTTCTCTTTCATTTCATAAATTTCACACACACATATAATTTTTCATAGCTCATACAACCAAACAACCACATAAACGATGACAAAAACACAAGATTAATGAAGAAAAGTTAAATCACGTTTTTGTACGACTACTTCCGCTATTCCTTCCAAGACTATTGCTTTGTAAGGGAGGGGGGAGGTGAAATGTTGGAAATGTTTTGGGCTGATGATATTCTTTATCAGTTGATGTTTGCATGTGAAAAGAGCGCAATTTTTCGATGTGTATTTTCTGGTAATAACTCATACAATACAGATCCTATAACAAAATAAAAGGTATAGTCATTTTTTAACCTCATGGTTTGCCACAGACCACAAGTACTAGGGCTTCTTTATTTCAAATTTGGTGTTACAGTTGATGAAATTAATAGAAAAGATTTGTTTAGTTTGTAACACGCTCCCCATTAATTTATCTCATTTCCTCATTTTTCTTATAAGTTATCCAAATTTATATCTCTCATTGTTACTGTATCATAATACTTTTATAAACCCTGTATTTATTTATTTATTCACTCATACTGAAGATGGCATCATGAGCTGTCAAAACATGTCTATTTTCAAAAAACTCGTTGTCTATATTAAATGCCAAACAAAGCAACTTGCATCATATTCTGCAAATTCACTATAGCGGCGATTGAAATAGTTGATCATCTTGCTTTTATCTTGGCAATATCTTGCAAAATGATTCAACTTAAAGCCCTTCGAGCATTTTTTTTCCATAAGTCTTGCATTTCCTTCGCTTGTGAGTGTAAGAATAAAATTTACAGTCTTTTAGTAGGGATTTATAATAACTGAATGATTCTCTGCCAATGTTTTTCTTTTTGTTTCTCGTGAATTTTCTCTTCTGTATACTGTCAATATATTCTTTACATGTTTGTAAATGTAGATCGTCCAGGTTGGTATAGTCCTGAGAAGGACTCTTTTTGTTGTTGTTGACTGACGTTTCAATAACCTTAGCCGCAGAGGCGAAACTAGAACGTTAATTGGGGGGGTATATATTCATATATTCAGCTCTGTTATGCTGATTTCTTTTGATTGCGATGTTAATTTCAAAAGAAATCAGCAGGGCAGAGCTGAATACATGAATATTTACCCCCCCCCCCAAATAACGTTCTAGATTCGCCCCTGCTTAGCGGTAGTCATCTTCAGAGTCAAAATTCTATTTAGGGCCGAAACAGGTGTCGGTCCTTCCATAGCATCCGGCAGCCAAGTATGTAACCCTAATTGAGCAGATTTTCCTACAGCCCCTATAGTTAATAATATACAAATCCAAGTACAAGCTGAAGATGGTGATAAAGCCGGAAGTAAAGTACAGTAATCTACTGCCCCAAATTCTTTCCAGATTAATATAATAGCCAGCATTAATTCTATGTCTCCTATTCTATTGATTAACATTGCTTTAATTGCCGCCTTATTAGCTTGTATGCGCGTAAACCAAAAGTTGATTAATAAATAAGAACATAAACCAACACACTCCCAACCAATAAATAATTGCACATAATTATTACTAGTAATTAAAATTAACATAAAAAAGGTAAATAAAGACAATAACTCATAAACCTAGGTAAGTGAGGATCTTCTCTCATATAACTTGTAGAATACACATTAACAATTGCTACAATTGTTACCATATCAAATTGTAGGCCAAAGCTAGTTATTAGTAAATATGACTCTATCCATCTGCCTAACTCTATATATACTGTAGACCCATTAATCAGGATTTCATAACATAACACAAAAGAAAGGAGACTACTGACGAGAACCCACACAGAACTTAACAAGCCAGCCCCCTTTCTTCCTAAATAGCGACCCCCTAATCCGCTTCCGACTGCGCTTAGTAATGGTATTAATATAACTAGAAGATACATGGGAATAAATCTAAGATAATCAAGTGTACTAATTGAAAGAATAAACTAGGACATATTATAATTGTTAACACTAAATATAAACTTGCCCCCATTAATATTGCCTTGCCTAAACTTGTTTCCTCTGGTGTTACATTGCCACATGGAGAATTTAATATATTTGTTATTACTAAAGGCGTAGACAAAGGTTGATAGAACATAATTTTTACTAATCTAATGTAATAAACTCCAGCTATCACAGAACAAACTACAGCTATTAAAGTACTGAAATAGTAACCTTGACCAACAACTGCTAAAATTAGATACCATGTAGTTAGAAACCCAATTAAAGGAGGAATTCCTGCAGTAGACAATAAACCTGTAGCTAATGCTAATGCTAACATTGGGTTTAATTTTGAGACACCACTAAATTTAATAAGCATGTTTCTTTTAGGGCATATATTTAGGACTCCATACCAAAATAATACTTGAGTTATTATGTAAGCACCTATATACATTAAACTCGCCTGAAGACTTTCTATAGACCCAATAGCTATTCCAAGTAACACAAACCCCATATGGCCTATTCCGCTATAAGCTAGTAGTCTTTTTATTCGAGTTTGATTCAAAGCTCCTATAGCTCCAACAATCAAAGAGATTAACCCAGCTATTAATAGCCCCATTTCATTTAAGCCTATTTGTACTAGAATAGCTAGTACTCCTAATTTAGGTACAATAGATAATAGCGCAGCTACCCAAGTTGGAGCTCCTTTGTATACATCGGGGGCCCACATATGAAATGGGGCTGCAGACACTTTAAATAACAATGAGATAGTAATAAGACACTTACCAGCTAATACACCATAAGATTCTAAACTCATACGAATAAATTGAAGTTCAAGTTCTCCTGTGGAGCCATAATTTAAAGCACAACCAAACAGAAACAACCCCGAAGATAGTGCCCTAACACAAAGTATTTAAGTCCAGCTTCTGCCGATAACAATGAGCTTTTATTATAAGCCACTAAGATAAACATACATAATGTTTGCATCTCTAATGCTAAATATATAGAAATTAAATTTGTTGACCCTATAAGTAATAAATTACCTAAGATCACTAATAAAATCAATAAAGAGCTTGATCGATGCGATGTTTGATGGTCCAGCATACATAGTATAGCTAATCCACTTATCATCACCAACATTTTAATAGCCTGTGTCCAACATAGTAAATGGGGTCAGTTAATAACTCAGTAGCCCCACAACCCCGCAAGTAGTATAGCTAATCTTAAAGTCGGGGCTTTTAATCCATATGTCAACACTATTAGTATAATGAGCCCTAGTGTTAATTCCATAATATGCCAGGGCTATGCACCCACATGGCATATGCCTTGTTAATCCCTAAACCTTTTGTTTTCCTTCTTTGCAGCAGCCAGAAGTTGATTACGTCGATGGGGCCAATATAGTCGAGCATCGCTGAGACCATTCCTTGCGTACTAGGACTCAGAAAAGTTGGGATTGATCATTGTAGATAGAAACCGAACTGTGTCACCACGCTCTGAAATCAAATCATGTACGGTTTTCATGGTCGAACAGACCAACCTAAGGTACCTTCTACAGCACCAGGGCACCGCAATTCAACATCGAGGTCGCAAACATTGTCCTCGATAAGAACTCTCCGACAATATTACGCTGTTATCCCTACGGTAGCTTTTATCCGCTTTCGATATTTATTTTGGACTATGATATCGGGTCATTATCGCCCACATAGGACTATGTCCTTGTGCTAGGTGTCCCCTCACTGTCAGGCTAATGAGATGAGCTTTTATACCAATAAGCTCGCCTTCGTTTCTTATTCAAAGTAGTCGCCACAACTAAACTGTTTTACCTACAAAATTACTAACTCAAAATTAGGATACTTGTATCGATCATTTTTAGTCAACGTTATTGGTATCCAGTAAAGCTCGATAGGGTCTTTTCGTCTTACAATGATTATGTAGTATCTTCACTACAACTATAATTTCATCGGCTTTCCTCTTGAGACAGTAAGACCCTCGTGGTTCCATTCATACCCGCCAACAATTAATTGGCTATTTATTGTGCTACATTATCACGGTCAGAGTTACCGCGGCCATTCAGTTGGGTTTCGCTTTAGACGTTAGTCCTTAGTTTCACTATACAATCATTGGGCAGAATTCACCCTCTATACTTCAGTAACCTTTAGCAGAGAGCTATGTTTTTGGTAAACAATCGAGATCTTATTTTCCCGAGTTCCTTAAGAGAAATTATGCCTTGATCAAAGTCCCATAATAACAGTTGCAGGTGCAAAATACCATAATATTTTCCTGAACAAGTACAAGAATTTTAATTCATCGGGCGTAATGCCCTTCGAAGCTGTATATAGATTTATTTGGGAGTAAATCTTGTACTACTCATGCCTGCATTATCACTTCTGTTTGCCTCACGAAGTATGCACATATCATGCTTACAGAACGCTTTACTACCAAGCCAGTTGCTTCCTTATGGTCTGACTTCCACAATTTTAGTTACAGATTTAGCCGCCTTGATTTTTAGAGTTTTTTAGCTCATTCAGTGAACTTTTACGTTTTCCTGTACAAATGGCTTTTTCCAAAGCTACTTCCTGTTTGTCTAAGTTGAACCCTCTTTATACACTTAATCTGTATTAGTGACTTTAATTTCTGGTTAGGGCTTACCCCTTTTGACTAGAAGCCTTATCGCTATAGTCTTACTGCACCAGTAATTCAAGCCCCTGGGTTTGGGGCGAATCAACTTGGGGCGCCTTACTAAGATAAGTTTCGTAGAGAACCAGCTATATCCAAAATCGACTAGTATTTCACCGCTAACCACAGCTCATCCAAGATTTTTGCCACAATCACTGGTTCAGTCAGCAAATAGCTACCTGACCATGGTTAGATCACTTGGTTTCGGAAATTTGACTTACGAGTTTTTTCTCTTGCTTTCACTATGCCTTCATTAATACTTAAGCTTGCAAAATTTTGTCTTGCAGGCCCATTAAAAGGTAACTTTTAGAACCAATTCTGAGTCTTTCCCTCACGGTACTTTCTCTATAGGTGTCCAATCATCTTAATTATCTGTTTGAGACAATTCCTCCGCTATTGCTCGCTGCTACGCACGGAATCTCAGTTGATGTATTCCTCATAGTCTAATAAGATGTTTCAATTAACTATTAAATTTACCCTTTTCAGTTAGGATAAACAAGTTCAAAGTCTCTCCCTTGCTATTTCGTGTTTACGTCCTTACCGATAGACCCTAGACTTTACTCAGTTCCACTGTCTAAGACTCATTAAGATAAACCCAATATAATTTCTTTTGTCCAGGGGGTTTTCTTCTA